ACAGGTTATTTATATTATCTTAATTAATAATTAGATACTGTTTTTTATATTAATTAAAATAATTAATCTTAGTAGACTTATATATCTCTAATATTTGTAAAAATTTTTCAGATATTTTTTTAGAACTGTAATTTTATTATTATATTAGAAATTCTTTCTGGATTTTCTTAATTTTATAAATAAAGATCCAAAATAATTAATTAAAATACTATTTTTCTTCTAAATAATAATAAATGATAATAAAATAATAATTAAATAATCATAAAAAAAGTATTTCTGTCCAGCAGGCCTGTCAAATATTAAGATTATTTTTAATTTATATTTATTATCATAGTTGCTAGAAGCTCTGTATAAATCTAATTTTTTTTATTTATAATATATTATCCTTAATAGTCTAACAGTTATCTTATTTACTAAATATTAAATTTTACGGAACCTTTTCTTAATATTTTTAAGTATATATAATTATATTATCTTTATTTCTTTATTTAATTTTATTAATATACCCTAAACAGAATTACTATATAATTTATTTTTTAGGAATTATTCTGCTAGCTGCTTCCACGAGTATTAATATAAAATAATATATAATAAGATTTATATTATTTAGTAATATTAAATCTGTATATATACAGATTATATATATAAATAAACTTCTTTGATATAGTTTCTAGTTAATAATCATTTAATATTATTATTCTAGTATAAAGGTATGAGTAAATTAAATATTAAATTAAATTAACATTATATTATCAATTCTTACAGGGCTAGCAGTCAATAGATTAACTTATAAATTCTTAAAATAACTTATATATAATTGAAAATAATCTTATAAATATTTTCGTTATATATAGTTGTTTTTAAAAAGTAATATTTTAAGTTTATATTTTAATTAATAATTAAAGTAATCAGGGCCTCTGTTCCAGAATTTCAATAATTATACTTTAATAAAATTTATATAATATAATATAAATCAAAGTTATCTATAACTAGATATGTATTATATATATTTTTAACATTACAGAGAATCTCTAGTACTGTATTATATTTTTATAATTTAAACATAATTTTTAGATAATTATCAAAATCTTATATTTCTTTTTATTGAAAAAATATATTATAACTGGAAGATTCTTCTAGTACTTAATCTATAATATATTTATTTATAAATATTTATACTTATTATTATTAGAATTAAGATTTAAATTCTTTTATTTCTATTATTATCAGAATTAATTAATTTATTATTTTCATAGTAGTTTATTAATTCAAATTTTATTAATCGGACAGCCAGGGGCCCTGTAGAAAAAGTTTAGTATTAATTATATTTATTATTATATTATTATTAATTTTAATAAGAATAGAGGCTTTCTAATAAAATTATTTATACATTAATATTTTAATATTCTGATAGATCTTGTTCAGTATTCTAAAATTTAAAATATATATTATAAATATTTTAATTTAATAGTATTATAATAAAAGAAATTATAAGTAATTATTAATCAAAATATAAATAATTTAATTAATATTTTTACTACTATGAGCATGACGAATAATATAAAATATTATTAAAAAATTTAATATAAAATATAATATACTAGTAAATAAAGTATAAAAGAAATATAAAAAATACTCTAATTATTAACTAATACATAAATAATATGCGAAATAATAATAAATATATAAAATAATTATAAAAAGTAAATAAAATAATAATATAATATTAAAAGAAATAATAATTACAGAATAAAGAAGAAAAGAAATAATATAAAAGATTTTTTATTTATATTTTCTATTAGCAGATTTACTCATATTAATATAATTAAATATTAATAAAATTATATAAAAATAATATATAATCCTGTTTATACTGTATATTTTATAAATTTTTTATTTTTCATTATTAAATTTCTATTATTTTAAATTATAATTATATAAGATTATTTTTAATATTTAAGCCAAGTAGCTTGTTCCAATAAAAATATTATCTATATTAAAATAATTTAATTATCAGAGGTAAGACTATTAGAATAATATATTATAATAATTATAGTAATTATAAAATTATAATAATAATTTTATATTTCTTTAATATTTATAAGATACTGTTTTTATTATAAAAGATTACTAATTGTTTAAAAATTAGTTTATTTCATTATATAGTCTACCTTCATTATTATTAGATAAATCTATAGTATTTAGTAACTGATTCCTTACCTAGTTGACAGGCTTTCTACCCTGACAAGTAGATCCTATCAAAAAATATGAATTTACTCAGTTAGTTTACTTATATTACTTTTTTTGTTAATATTCATTATTAATATTTATTTTTCTATATATTCTTCTTTTCCTTCTTATATTTAATATTCTAGTTAATTACACCAAATGGATCACATTTGAACGGCTCTCACAGTAGATATAAAAATAAAGAAGTACCTAACAGAGACCTGAAGCGAAGATTCAGAGAGGAGCGGGTCTAACATACTAGTATCGGTTTTATTATGAATGTGACTTTATATCTTATCATAGAATTAATAGATAATTTATATGTACCATTTACAGGCAGTGAATAAGATAATTATTAATAATATTTTACAGAAGTATAGTCTTCATATCTATGGTTGTAATAAAATAATTATATTCACATTGTCTCATCATATTCATCCTTATAATAATAATCATAAATAAAAAAAATTTGTAAATTCTCAAGATCTAATACAAAATCAGGAATATATTACCAAGCAATATTATTCTATGATTACTAGAAAAATTACTAGAAACAACACTTTGGATAGCTTTAATACTGATTCTCAGGATATATAGATGATCTATAGTATTTAATATTATGAATTCAACAGTATTTGTATGGCTTTAAATAATTAGGATCCCAGCGCTTCCACCTGCGGGTCGCATAGAATTGTAAGAAATATGGCCAGGGGGAGTAAGTAAATTGATAAAGCTTATTCTTTATCAGTCTTCAGGATATTCATCCCTGATATTACTGACAAATGTCCTCGTTTCCCAATCCCATCTTTTGAAATGCTTTCCCGCCACTGCCACGAGTGTTGAGGGCAATTCTGAGACCTCGGGACTCATTAGCTCAATATTCTCCTCGGCCACATAACGAACACTTTTATCCTCAACTCTTGGGAGCAGGAGTTAGCTTTACCCTATATATAAGATCGATACTTGTAAAGGAGCTTACAGCACATGATAGAAGCTCTGGTGCCTACCACCTTGCAGGCGATCTATTCCCATCCTTCTCATCCATTGCTCACCCGCGCCGCACTCCGTGTCCCAACCTGTTATGATGGCTCGGTATTCATACCGGCGATGTCTAAATACCTGCCCAACGCGGTATTTTACTTCCCTCCGCTGAGAAGAGCGCCTCTTAACCTGTTTAGGTATTTCGTCCGCCGCTCGCATCACATGGAGACTTTCCAGAATATGCTCATACTCGGGCGTTCCATGAAGCAGAGGCGCCACGTACTGTTCAATCAAGTGGATGTCGGATGGGAACTCCGTAGCAAAAAGCTCCATTAGCCATAGCAGATTATGTCTGACGTCAGTAGGCCGAGCAAGATCCGAAAGCAACAAAGAGGACCAAATTGCAGCATACTTCGCACAAACGACATCCACTGGTGTTAGGCGCATATCTGGAAACCGAGACATACGTTGGACCGAGTTCAGAATGTTTTTGCTGCACCGAAGGACGACTTCTGAAGGGTGGGATTCGGCCAAGAAGTTCGCTCGCTCGACCGCAGTGACACCTAAGAAGTTTAGTTGATACTCTAGATCCGTGATTGGCGTTTCCTTCTCTGAGCGGAACGGATCCATATAAATTGGGCTGCCGCGTGTCCCGTCTTCAATTACATTATCGTCCATATCATAGCCGATGGGCGGCAGGATAATCACATGGACATGGAAAGGGAAGCCGCATGGCCGGGCGTTCAGGCCGAACCGTTCAGCAACGTAGCAATAAATAGTTGCCGAAATCAGAGGAAGTGAATTGTGCCGAGGGTCATTCAAAGCAACACCAAGAAAGTTGTGCTCCAAGCAATAGTACTCTTTTTCTTCACCAATTCCGGTGAGATTATTTGCCCTCAGGAACTTCGCAACTGCCCTGGCTTTATTACGAGACGTGAGCTGGTGGATGTCTGGACAGCTGATAGGAAGTAGCGAGGCAATCGAGTCCAGTCTATCGCTAATCTGAAATTGTATTAGATAGCAACGTCCCTTCATGCCCTGGAGTCACTTACCTCTTCCAAACTGCCAAAATCGATCTCGGGTCTAAAAAGGTCGAATGCACCTAAGGCCCTGTATAGAGACACCTCCTCGCCATTTCTCAGTTTAGCCCATTCTTGTACAGCGAGACCTCGATGAAGGCAAGTGAGGAGCGCCTCGGCATAATATCTTATTTCAAAGAAATATAGTTAAAACGAGATGCCGTCTCATGGATAGACAGAACGAACCTCCTTGCCAAGTAATCTTCTACACTGGATTGAATCTCAAGATTATGTAGAAGGGCATCTTTGGCATCATAACCAAGCCCTATAATCTTTCGAATCTTCTCGATTCTCCCCGTTTGATTTGCAAGGATGCTGTCCAGAAGACGACAGGTTGCGCGGTATTTTAAATGCTTTAGTATGTAAAGCGATTTCCAATCTACCGCAGGAATAGGGCTTGCAAGCTTCGCTGGTAACTCATGTTGCCGGGCCCAGTGCTTAAAACGGCTCAGACAATAATATCGCCATAATAAAGGGTTTGTTGTTACCCCGCGAAATCGGCGAGCTGTCTGTTCTAATGCGGCAGCGGAACGGGGTGGGCAGTAGCAAAGAATATGATGTAGTAACTCTTCGGGGAAATAGTCCAGAGACGGAACCATTCCGGTACATGTGACACAGCAATAGACGACGACAATTGAGACGAAAGAAAGGCTGTCCTTAGACTATCACAAGTTTGTGCCGCTCATCTGTGTCCATCTGGGTGGGTGCAAATCGGAGCCAAGCGAGCTCGATCCTGAGCGGGGAGTTCTGCCGTACCAGTGCTCTGTACCCCATCTTTTATAAACAATCTTGACACTCCTGCGCCAAATCCATTCTTCACCTCCTCACCACGGAAGACTTTTTAGTCAGACTCATGGGGCAATTTCAGTCTTCGACAAGCGAAGAGAACGCCAGCTCTTCGGCTGGATCACCTGATAAGAAACTTGATTATTACGAACTTTTACAGGTGAATTGGGACGCATCTGCAGAGGAGTAAGCTTGCCTTGCCTGTCAGTTTTTTCTAAACCTTGCGCATGAATTGTTTTTTGTGAAAGAGCACGCAGAATGGGGAAGGAGAATTGAATGCGGGCCTCGAAGGAGAGACGTGGTGGGATGAGCAGCGAAGGTATCCTGAAGCCACTAACACCCCTTAATCCCTTTAGAATCAAAAAGGCGTACAGAAGAAAAGCCCTTGAGTTGCACCCGGACCGAAACTATGGAAATGTGGAATCTGCTACAAAGCTTTTTGCAGAGGTCCAGTCTGCTTACGAAGTGCTTTCAGACCCTCAGGAGCGTTCGTGGTACGATACTCATCGAGATGTCTTGCTAGGAAGCCAGGGTAGTTCTGGCAACTCTGGCAGTCCACATAGTTCGCGCACGACTACTGCAGACGATATCTATAGGATCTTTTCTAGGTTCAGTCCACAGATGGAATTCTCAGACTCCTCAGATGGCTTCTACGGTGGTCTTCGTGAGGTCTTCTCACGACTTGCCGCGGAAGAAGAGATCGCTTGCCGTGGGGAGAATGTGGAAATCATTTCTTATCCGACGTTTGGGTGCCGGGGGGATGATTTCGAACGAGTTGTACGCCCATTCTACGTTGCATGGGGCGGCTTCTCAACAAAAAAGTCGTTTGCATGGAAAGATGTCTATCGTTACTCAGAAGCTCCCGATCGTCGTGTTCGTAGACTGATGGAGAAGGAAAATAAGCGCCTGAGGGAGGAAGGCATCCGTGAATTCAACGATGCTGTTCGATCACTCGTAGCTTTCGTCAAAAAGCGCGACCCGCGATACAAAACAAGCACCCAAAGTGAGTCACAGCGCCAGGAATTCCTCCGACAATCTGCCGCCTCCCAAGCTGCGAAATCAAGGGCAGCGAATCAGGCTAAGCTGCGAGACCATATCACGCAAGACTGGGCAAAGTCAGAGGAATTTGAAGATGACGAGACAGTGTGTAGTACTGAGACAGAACTGGAAGTCTTCGAGTGTGTTGTGTGCCGCAAAAGCTTCAAGAGTTTGAATCAGTTTGAGGCACACGAGCGAAGCAAAAAGCACGTCAAAGCTATTAAGCAGCTTCAAAAAGAAATGAGGAATGAAAACAAGCAGCTGGGACTAGCCGGAGATTCATCAGAGTATGAAGCTCAGGCTACTATGACATTTGTCCCGGATGATCAAGCTATGCGTGTATCGAATGCCGACAGCACACCATGCAGATCCACGTCAGGCAATACACTCGGCAATGATGATAATGAAGGTGACATACCAGCACCAAACAATGCCGGTGAGAGCCAGGGTCAACGCGATTCTCACGAAAGCCTACGGGGATATATCGACCAAAACTCAGAAAGTGAAATTGACTATGCATCAAGAGAGGTTGTCGAGGGTCGACTCCAACTGACCGGTGATTCAACGCAGGATACGACAGATGCGGCTGCTAGTCTGTCTTCAGATTTTACGCATCTAGAACTTGACCCCTCCAAGCCAGCCGTTCAGAAATTGGGCAAGGCTAAACAAAAGCGCTTAAAAAAAGCGGAACAGGCAAAAGGACAGTCCCTAGGCACGCAGTGTACAACATGCAGCGCTTCCTTTCCTTCACGGACCCAACTTTTTTCACATCTAAAAGAGTCTGATCACGCACAGGTGAAAGGGGTCACTCGGCATAGAAAGAAAAGGGTTTAGAAATTCTACTTTGGTTTCCCTTGGAAATTTGCGCCTTCCAAGAGCTTATATATCAACACCTGGCACTAATCGTGGCCTTATATCATATACATATTTCATTATCAGAGATTCAATACCACTATATCGGATAGTATGTTTACAAGTATTTCTCTAACAAACCAGTTGACCTCCAATCATAGCATGTAGGTTGAGGAAGACAGAAAAATGGAGAGGAAAGGAAGCTGAGAGTACCAAGTTTCTCTGACTATCGCTTGCACATGCTACCTATCCTAACCCAGCCCTCGAGTTCTTCACAATATGTGCAACAGGTTGAAGAATACCTTTGTTATTCATAGAACCAAGGGGAGTGCCAATGCTCCATCCCATTTTCTCAAGCATAGCCCTGCCCTTATTCTCGGCACCAATTTCAGGTGCCGATCCTCCGACGACATCACCATCCATGTAGGAAACAGTTGCATCGGTTCGCCCGCGGCGCGACTTGCTAGGCTTGCTCGGCTTCGAGTCGCGGGATTTGAGCCCGCGTTGCCCACGCCCATTTGATAATATACGGTCCATTTGAGATATTGTTTTGGATGAATATGCAGGAGTCCGTGAGGTCTTGTTTACGATGGGGAACCTCGAGGACCCCTTGCCTCGAGATTGCGATTTCATAGACAAGACATTGGCCAACTCGTGGACCAGTTTGCGGTGTTGCTTCGACATGGGAGGCAAAGCCAAGCTGCAAAGAAGATGTGTCAGATATCATATGCCAGAAGCAGTCTGATTCACTGAGGAGGAGGGAACATATGTACCTATTCCTTGGTGACAGGAGGAAATGTCGAATTTCGCTTCTCAGGTCCTCGGTGCCGATTCCATTGGAATATTTGTCTTTCAAGGACGGGTTTTGGCGGCCCCGGCCTAATAGGCCCTGGGAGCGCAGCTCTTCGCGTTTTTGCTTTCTAGCCTTTTTCTTTGCTCTGTCGTTTTGCCAGGCATTTACCAACTCGGACTCAAGTTCACTATCTGATAGACTAATGTCCAAGGACCGGCCCTTTCCTTTAGACTTCTTTTTCACACTTGGTCGGTTGAAGTCCATGATATCGAATCCATAGTAGGGATCAAACTCCAATGCATCAGCAAAAGCCGTCGCAGACGCAAAGAAGCTGTTACCATCCGCGTGCAGGTTCTGCTTGAAGTCAGTAATGATATATCAGGGTGGTTCGATTTTCGAGGGGTGGATGTCTAGCAGACGTGGAATGGTGAGGTTTCTTACCTCAGATTTGTCTTCTTCTATGTCCTCTGTGTCCGAACCGTCTGACGAAGAGGTCGAGGCGCTATCCGTATGAGAAATTCGGTTAACGGATACCTCTTGACTGATTTCTTCGTCCAAATGATTGTAGTGACCTTTGCCCAGTTAGTAACGCCCACAGGCGTGACGACCAAGAGATTTGAGTATTTCCACTTACACTCAAAAACCTCATTTTCGCCGCACTCTTGCTCATCGCTCAGTGTCAGATTATCGCGTTGAGCAGAAGCCTCGCTTTGCTGCATTTTCTTCTCAGCTGCGGAGTTCAGGCCCGTAGCGGACGTTGGTACCACCTTGTCGGCATTGTCTGGCTCTTGAGCTTCAACAGAGTGCGGAGAGCTGCCCAGTATCCCTGGTATCAAGTACTCGGTGTCAATATTATCTATGTAGTCGGCGAGTATGTCATCATCGTCTCTTTTCCATTTTTTGCGCCGCCGCTTATCGCTGGTAAGCGAGAAGTAATTTGGGCTATCGTCCATTTCTTGTGGGCATGTTTCTGTCTGTGGAGGCTTGGGAGCGGGCAATGATTTGGGCTCAGAATTTGAGGAAAGGAAATCCAATTTGCTGTGCTCGGATGCTCTTGGTTGCTGACTACCGGCAATAACTTTCTGCGTCCGGGTATCCGACGGGTGTGATCTGCCTTCCCCATAATGGTGTCTCCTGCCACGAAACACAACCTCATCTTCACTCGAATCGTCATGAGACTTCTTGGAGAGATGTTTCATTGAATCCGATATCGCTGTGGATTCGAAGTCGTCAAGTAACTCAACACAGAGGGGCGAGTCCTCGGTCTTCGGCCTGCCTTCTGACAGAGACGTAGCCGTTGCTTGATCACAATCCTGAGTCGTCCGTGTTTCCAGACTCTCTTCGCGTGCGCTTATCTCGATTGTGCTTGGGGGGGTTTGCGTTTCACTCTCCCGGTCAATGTCCTGGGCGCTCACAAAACGGACTGTTTGGTGGCGTAGTGAGGCACCAGTCCGCCATAGGCTGCGTCCTTCAGTGTTGCGCGCTTCTTGCTGCATTGTAAGATGATTTTTGCCGAGGTCTTCGAAGAGTCAGTAATGTGACTGTAACGTGAAGTAGTGACAACTATGATACAGTACCTAGAAGATCATCTGCCACTGATTTCTGCTTCTTGTTCCGGACTTTTGCCTTGGATCGTGTCATCTTGCAGGCCTTTTCTTTCCGCTTGGCTTACTGCCTTTTCCCTTTGGCCTTATCCTATGATACGATTGTAATCCTTTTGTCGGTTGGGAGATAGAAGGGTGTTTCGTCGACCGGATGAGGATAAGCGACTGGAGATGGTACCTTTACTGCCTCGGAGCTTAATCTAGTCCCTCGCTCTTGGCAGTGTTATCTGCGGTCTCATATCTTCACTTATGTAATGATGGCAGGCGGCGAAGGTGCCCGGTGGGGTACACAGGCGGGCTTTATCATTGAGGGTCTGGGTGGCCTTGATTCACTGAGAGACAGTAAGGCCTAGTATCTTTCCCACATACGATGTCAAGACTGGTCAGGGTTACTATACTTTTTCAATTTTTACTGAGTCTTTGGTGTGAATATGTAAGGGCCTATGATAGATAGCCTTCTCTAAGCTTTTTCAGCTGTAGTAGCAACTCCCGCCCTAGCTGGCCCCGTGACTACAACTAAATGCATAGATACTGTATGACCCCTCCTGGTCACACTAAGCTCCCTTTTGTGGTTAACTGTTCTTCTTTGGCCGCTACCAACCTTGTGATCTGCCGCGCTGGTAACTGTCATTATATTACTTTTGGAGAGTGCGTTGCACTATTAATATCTCTCCCTCAGAGCCCCGCCGTCTAGGTTTCCCGTCTCCAACGGGCCGAGGATAATATATAGTGCAGACCTGTCTAGTGACGTACTGCGACACCAACCCCCACCGTCTCTGTCTGTGCGACCAGGGAAGCGCAACCTAGAGTATCGGAACGATAGCAGACATGAACACAGTCGACATAGGACGGTGCAGCAAACGCATCGTACAGTATCTCTGGGACCCAGAGCCCAGGAATGATGAAGATCCTACTTCCTCGATATGGTGCCTAGGAATAGAGTATCACCCCGAGAAGGATGTCAGCCCAAGGGGGGAGACACGTAAGCCCAAGCAAAACATAATTACTCGTCTCTTGTTAAAAGACGCATTTTTTCCAAATCATACTGATACCGGTGCCAGCCGACAAGAACAGCGCCCGAGATAACGCGACGGGAACGACCAACTATCGGAAACCATCAGAACATGCGTGGCCCGAGTCGTTCCTGTTGGATTTTGAATCAAGAATCTGGATGACGTATAGGTCCAATTTCCCCCCGATACCCAGAGTCGAGGGAGACGACAAAAGTGCATCGATGACACTGGGGGTACGCCTAAGAAGCCAATTAGTAGATACGCAAGGATTTACATCCGATACTGGCTGGGGCTGTATGATACGCTCCGGTCAGAGCCTGCTGGCAAATGCACTATCTACGTTGGTCCTAGGACGTGGTACTATCATTTACACGCGTGACCTGAATGTACTGCTAACATCCGACCAGACTGGCGCCGTGGAGCGAGGTTCGAGGAAGAGTCACAGCTACTGTCTCTTTTCGCCGACACACCAACTGCACCCTTCTCTGTACATCGGTTCGTCAAGCATGGCGCCGAATCGTGTGGGAAGTTCCCAGGGGAATGGTTTGGGCCCTCCGCAACGGCCAAGTGCATAGAGTATGTTCCGCATTGCATCTAGCAACTAATATAAAGAAGTAAACTGAACAACGACACAGAGCACTTTCGGCACAGTGTGGAAGTCCTACACTCAAGGTCTATGTCTCTAATGATACATCGGAAGTTTACCAGGACAGGTTCATGAATGTCGCCCGAAACTCTTCCGGTGTCTTTCAGCCTACCCTGATACTGCTAGGAACAAGGCTCGGCATCGACCATATCACTCCAGTCTATTGGGATGGCCTAAAATCCACATTGCAGTTCCCCCAATCAGTCGGAATTGCAGGGTATATTGCCCACCCGTGAGCTATTTCTCTTCATCAAAGCTGACGTCATCAATAGGGGACGCCCGTCGGCGTCACACTACTTTGTTGGAGCCCAAGGGTCACATCTATTTTATCTAGATCCACATTATACCCGCCCTGCGCTTCCAGATCGCCAAGGAGGCGAACTATACTCAAAAGAGGAGGTTGATACTTATCATACACGGCGCTTGAGAAGAATTCACGTGCGTGACATGGATCCGAGCATGCTTATAGGCTTCCTCATCCGAGACCAGGAAGATTGGGACGACTGGTTAAACCGCATACAAGCCGTCAAGGGACGGCCGATAATCCATGTACTCAAGCAGATGAATCCTGACCACGATCAGGAAGCAGAAGCACTTGACCAGGTTGAAGCGCTGGATGATATCGAATAGCTCTTGCTGTCAATACATTTAGATGAATTAACCTTAGTACCCAGCCTAGAAATGATGCACCACTGCGCTCTAATCTTATAGACATGCAACTAGGCAATTTGATATTCGAATTCTGTTGAGGAAGGTAAACCCGCGCAACCAACCCCACATCCGAGTTATGTTACACCGCATTCACGTCACAAAAAAAAGCAACCATAAACATTTGGCCCAAGGGGAAAAAAGAAATAAAGCCATCCCATGACACATTAGAATCCCGCAAACACCCTGTAACCCACCACCTCAAAACCGTAACAGATGACGAGGTAGCAAAAGAACAATCCTGCAGAAAGAAAACAAAGAAAAGAAAATGCTTATTTGGCAGACGACGAGTACTTCGTGACAGCCTTGGTGCCTTCGGACACCGCGTGCTTCGCCAATTCGCCGGGAAGGATGAGCCTCACACTAGGAGATATTAGTTATTTACTACCATTTTGGTCTGCAAAGCACTTACGAGGTCTGGATCTCCCGTGAAGAGATGGTGGACTTCTTGTTGTAAGCAGCAAGTTTCGAGGCTTCGGTCGCGACACGCTCAAAGATATCTAGGACGCGTTAGGTATTTGCTTAAATGTAGACTGCGGTTCGTTTCACAACATACCATTGACGAAAGAGTTCAGGATGGACATAGCGCGAGTCGAGATACCGGTATCAGGGTGGACCTGCTTCAAGACTACGAACGAAAGTCAATAATTATCATCTCAAACTAGATGCCTTAAAACCACTCACCCTTGTAGATGTAAGAGGAGTAGGTCTCCTTCCTGGTCTTTCCGCGCTTCTTCTTGTCGCCGGAGGCAGCGGCAGCAGTCTTCTTGCCGGCTTCCTTCTTCTCAGCAGGAGCCTTGCCGCCAGCCGGGGCCTTGCCACCGGTGCTGGGCTTCTTCTCAGCGGCTTTGGGAGGCATATTGAAAGATTTGAAATTAGGTATGAAAGATGAAGAGTTGTGATAAAAGTATAAGGTACGGTGGTTGCGTTGGCGTCGACAGAGGATAGAGTGAAGATGAGGATAAGAATGAGGGAGACGCGGTGACGAGGGAGGCGCGCTACTTATACTAGCTCGCAAATACTCAGTTGATCCTGAGTCCGCAAAAGAAGCAGAATTTCAATACGGTCACACTTGTGTATGATCTGTATGATTAGATGAGGGAGAACGCGTCGTCCACTGTGGGGAGTTGACTAAGATCACGCTAATATAACCGTATCGAAACTAGAATGATTAATTACCACGCTTAACTGTATTGGGGGCGACCACGCGCGGAATCATACCAAAGACTCTCTGCCAAGCTATGGGTGCGCCGGAGCATGATCTCATTTGTGATTGGCTGACCCCGCTAAGCGAGAGGGTGATCTGAAAGGCTCCCGAGTAGTCCAACGTCACCCTGATCGCGTTGTTATATATGTCCTCCGCTCCCTCGCGTTGGCCGTCAACCCTTTAGCACCGTAACCCGCTTATCGCCATCGTCACTTGTTAACTACAACTTCTTAATTAAACACCTTCACAAAAACTCATATTCCACCTATCAAAATGACTGGAGGCAAATCTGGAGGCAAGGCCAGCGGCAGCAAGAACGCCCAATCGTATGCCACCCGTCCATCTCGCGTTTTCTTCGAGATATTAAACTGACACGAAATCGCAGCCGCTCGTCTAAGGCCGGTCTCGCCTTCCCCGTTGGTCGTGTCCATCGTCTGCTCCGCAAGGGCAACTACGCCCAGCGTGTTGGTGCCGGTAAGTGATACTCGTTTTATCATTAAAGTGTCCTATCAAATGATATGCCTAACATCATATAATAGGTGCTCCCGTTTACCTCGCTGCCGTCCTTGAGTATCTCGCCGCCGAAATCCTTGAATTGGCTGGCAACGCCGCTCGCGATAACAAGAAGACCCGTATCATCCCTCGTCACCTTCAGCTCGCCATCCGCAACGATGAGGAACTGAACAAGCTTCTGGGTCATGTCACTATTGCCCAGGGTGGTGTCCTCCCCAACATCCACCAGAGTAAGTTCCAGCTCCACCTGAAAGTCCGACATGTGGTGCTGACCATACACAGACCTTCTGCCCAAGAAGACCCCCAAGAGTGGAAAGGGCCCGGGAAGCCAGGAGCTGTAAACAATTTCTTTCTAATTTGGGTTCTCTGATTCGGCGCGGTTTGGTTCTCTTATTGATGTGATAACGGGGTTCTGGTCGGAACGTTTATGGCTCTGCGTTTTCTTTTTCTAGTTTCCACAGTTTATGGTTGTACATTATGTCTACGGGCATGGAATGATACCGACAGCATTTTCACGGATTCAATTTTCTATCCTAGTCAAGACTCGTGTAAGGAGTGCGCTCGCCTAGTAAAGACCAAATGGTGTCCGTTGAGCTGTTTTCACCTTAAAGAAGTGGCCCATTATTTAAGCAATTAAAGGTCCCCCAGGATATATGGATGTAGTAGTCAATTTATTCTCATCTATGGACCTAGGAATACAAGATAACTGCGCAAAGGAGCTGCAGTCATACTCAGTGTGCCGAGCTGTCCGAAGCAACTAGCAGATATTGCCGCGTCAATATTGGATGCATTCAGTAGGTCATTATTGGTTCACTCACGGGGCAATTGAGGGGCGGGAATGTTTCTCTCGTACTTGCTGCCTATAGAAATGTCAGATCAAGATATCCGTTTCATAAAGCACACTCTGGTCAGACTTACCACCCGGGGCCGTAGGTGCACGGTAAGGGTCAGGGTGTTTCCATGTCTCTAGGAGCTTCTCTGTCTCTTGAAGCAGTACCTGTTCGTTTTACCGTCAGTTCTATGAACACTAGTTGTTCAATGCAGTGAGAAGCAGCACTTACCTTCTGCTGACGGGGATCGCGGACATCTTTGTTGGCTTCGAAAAGTGAGCGGATATACACAGCTTGTCCTCTCCAGATATGGCGGTGAACGGCCCAATCAAGGGCCAGTTTCAGGGACCGTCGATAAAGTGAACTGGACAACAAAGTCAGGATATCTTCTATTCGCTCTTCCTTTGGTCAACCTACGCGCCAGCGTTGAGAGGCATCCTGATTCTGCAGCAGTTCCGTTCCGTAGGCGTGAGTTGTCTTAAGACACTTTTCTCTCAGGTCTGCCGTGTTTGTGAACCACGGCCGTCTGGTTGTAGTCTATATTGATTTTTGCACGAAGTTTACAGCTCGTTCAGTTACCCAGCCGTTAATGATCCTATGCGGGTCACGAAAGTACCAAGTTGGTGCTTTTCGACGCCCGCAGTAGCGTAATAATAATACTCCGTTCATTTGCCGGGCGCAGGGAATGCCGCGCTCGTTGAGGGAAATTCCGGTTGTCTCGGCCCGGGCTTGAGCTTGCAGTGCCCTCGACTGACATAAGTTTCGTCACTCTACAGTTCCCGACAGGAAATATCCATAGGACTAGAGCCTAACAACAACAACAACAACAACAACGTCCACTCTTTACGGGGCCTATTTTGTGCTACCACAACTCCCGGCTACATCTCTACAATCTTTGTTAATCTGATTATCCAGACGGACCCAAGCCAGTCATTATGGCTTCTCGATTACCGTTTCATCGCCTCTCTGGGCAACACCTGAGGACTCTTCATCGAAACGCCAGCGTTTCCCGCAGCCTCCACATCGGCCGCGCCAGAAGCTTGATGTCCATTGCTTCCCAGAAAAGCGCCAATGGTCCTCTCAAGTCAAGCGCGGGTCTCCAGCAGGTTACGGCTCTGGGGTCAGTGGTACCAAGTCTTGTTTGTTGAATAGCAATCAACGACTAACTGTTGCCATAGACCCAAAATGTCTCGCTTCGGTATCGCTCCCTTCGCGGCTGCTCAGGTGCGAACTTATGGTAATATCCTCCTTCCACTGTCTCGAAACGCTACTTTACTAATGCCTGTTGTTGTTTCCGGTTAGCGGACACTGTTGTCAAGGTTCCACAGATGGCGGAATCGATCACCGAAGGGACATTGAAGCAATTCTCCAAACGTGAGGTCTCAGCGCTCGACGTATCAATGGACTGGGCTAATATTGGCGGCAGAGATCGGCGACTACGTTGAACGGGACGAGGAGATCGCAACCATTGAGACTGACAAGGTAAGCGCTGAGACCAGGCGATGGCCGCTTCCCGCTACAGCGGATATACCCTGTGAAATATAAATCAGCGACTCACTTGTGTAGATTGATGTATCCGTTAATGCCCCTGAATCCGGTACCATCAAAGAGTTCCTCGTGAGCGAGGAAGACACCGTCACAGTTGGACAGGACCTTGTCAAGTTGGAGCTTGGAGGTGCCCCTGAAACCAAGACTGAAGACGCAAATGAAAAGCCGGCCGCCCCAGCTGCTGCTGACAAGCCCACGGCTTCCGAACCTGAGAAACCGAAGGCACCCGAAGCACCCCAGTCTTCATCCGAGAAGGCCACACCTTCGGAGCCCAGTCCCTCAAAGAAAACAGAGCCGGTAGCTACAAAGCCTCAGGCCTCCGAACCTGCCAAGCCCAGCGTTGGGGGTCGCGAAGAAAGGAGGGTATGTACCCGGCCGATTGGCTGCATCGACCTTCTTTTTTCCTCCACTAACATTGGATCTCCTTGCTTTCTCGATAGGTTAAAATGAACAGGATGAGATTGAGAATCGCAGAACGTCTGAAGCAGTCCCAGAACACCGCAGCTTCTCTCACTACATTCAACGAAGTTGACATGTCCTCTCTCATGGAATTCCGCAAGCTGTACAAGGACGACGTATTGAAGAAGACCGGTGTCAAACTCGGATTCATGAGTGCCTTCTCTCGCGCCTGTGTTCTCGCCATGAAAGACGTTCCTGCTGTTAATGCCTCCATCGAGGGTCCCAATGGTGGAGACACCATTGTTTATCGTGATTACGTGGATATCAGCGTGGCCGTTGCTACTGAGAAAGGACTAGTGACACCAGTGGTCCGCAATGCAGAGACCATGGACCTCGTTGGCATTGAGAAGGCCATCGCGGATCTTGGCAAGAAGGTTGGAGGTTATCTGGAAGCTGGCTTGAATGAAAGGTGGCTAACGTGCTTTCTGCTAGGCTCGTGATAATAAGTTGACCATCGAGGACATGGCCGGGGGCTCTTTCACCATTAGCAATGTGAGTGCTTACTTGTTGTCTACCAGGTGTTCGCTTAGGTATTAACAGTACGCTTAGGGCGGGGTTTTTGGCTCTCTGATGGGAACTCCCATTATCAACCTCCCACAGACAGGTAGGTCTGAATCTTGGTGTGTCGCTTGGATGTATATCTAATTCTTTTCAAGCTGTTCTCGGACTCCACGCAATCAAGGACAAGCCGGTGGCTGTGAACGGTAAAGTTGAAATTCGCCCTGTATGTCCCCACGCTTCTGCATGAAAACATAGAAAGGGAGGAAAGGCCGTAGTGGTCGCTAATACTTTGAACAGATGATGTATCTTGCCCTGACTTACGATCACCGACTCTTGGATGGTCGTGAGGCTGTAACTTTCTTGGTTAAGGTTAATAATTCTTCTTGGACATTTTCTTCCGGATTGTGTGCTAACTCTGGCTTATCGCAGGTCAAGGAATACATCGAAGACCCCCGTCGGATGCTGCTGGGCTAGGCTTCTCACGCTGGTTGAACTAGCCTGTTGGGTATTGGAGGTCTTGGGCACATATCAATCACTCCCTTTTGCCTCTTATTTTTGCACTTACGCTCTCGAATTGTAGAATAACAGTCCTGTACGGAGATGTAACCAAGCGTATCAGCTTACAATACAAACTTCATTAAGCTTCATTGCTGCCTATGGTTGTTGTGGAATCCCAACAACTTGGCTCAGATTACCATATACGTACATGCCAAGACGTTCTCTACTATCAAAGCCCTATCCTGTCCTTCAACTGCTGGGTCTCTTCACGGCTCAGTCCTCCAAGTTTCCCTCTCTCGAGTTGAATGAGTATTGGAGGGTCTAGTGTCTTCATGAGGTCGGTCAGGAAACGATGTACCGAGCGGGTAATAGTATCTCCGCGTGGTGACTTCCGCCCAGATCCTTCCGACTCGGCTGATGCAAGGTCGATGGATGGTAACAGGGTGCTCAGGTATGCTAGATTTACCTGCTCTGCATACGGATCCAAGGCTTCGCGCAGGCACGCAGTGACACGTTCAATGCATTCTCTGTACCTGCCTGGCGCCTTAACACCCGCAGTGTGGTACTCGTTCAGTGCAGCTTGGGTTATTAATTTCGCAGCAATATCAGCGTGTCCATCTGGTAAATTGTCTCTCGCAGTGCCGCAAAGGGTGACAAATTGGACTAGCGCATTGTAGGATCTATCAACGGCGACAACCTGGGTATCATGGGCGGGTAGTTTGTCGCTTTCATGGGGCTGGTATGGTTGGGGGGTGCTTTTTCCAGATCGTGTAATTGGACTCCTGCGCTGGTCTTCCTGCGACAATTCGGTGGCAAGACCTCTGCCTGGCTCTGTTTTTCCATTGCCATCACTGAACAATTGTGCGAGCTCTAGTATCTGGGTTTTTATCTGCATGTCTTTGGAAAGAGTGTCCGATGGTAGGAGTGCAGTCTTGATGGCTGTTGGGTTAAACGTCAGTACCTATGTACTATCGGGCGCATCGGAAGGAATATCCATACTGTTGATCGTATCGAGACTCCAGCTAGTGTCATCTTCAACTTTACCATTCCCGGAGTCCAGGACTTGGTCAATGGCCATGCACAGGAGGTAATCCAGTATCATGAGATCTACCTCAGCCTGTGTATCCGGATCTGCTGTGGGCGATTCCATGGTGGGGTGGTGCAATCAACTAGCAATCCAGCCATCCTGCTGGTCATCTGATCGCACTGTGGGCTTCTAAATCCCGTCACAATCCATGGGCCGGTCTGGTAGAGTATGCTTTGTCCTGTGAATTTTCGGGGATGTGATAGCTGGTTACCGGCCCGGGCCCTTGTTGGTTGATCAGTCAGTTAAGTAGGTCACTTTGAGTGATCAGTTGGTTAACTGGCGGAGTAGTAGTCAGTTACTCCTAGTAATTAACTAGTTATTGGTTGGCTGGTTGATTAAGTTGGTACTGTGGGTTAATACCTGGTTAATATGCTTGCTTATTAATTGTTATGAAGCCAGTGCGGCTAGTGCTTAGTATCTACAAGTTACCCGGCCCTTGCGTGGTTAGGTTGTTTGCTTGTCGAGACCGATGGTACAGAGTATTGTGTCTGTGTGATTTTGGCTTGCTAGGCTTTGAAAAGCTATGGATTCGGATTTCTTAACTAGACTCATATTACTTATTCTCGCGTGTAATCAGTGTATAATATGTATTACATGGACTCCGAGCATGGGTGTAGTTCTCGATACCCGAGTTTATATATAATCATATGTACAGACATACATCTGTACCATAAAACGGTGGTGCATCAACCAGTGAACAGATACCGTCACGTATAAGGGCCCATATTCTAAATAGTCTACCGCATGATACAATATACCATACGTGCGTGCCTATCCCGTACAAAGCAACCGATAAACATTAGCTCCCCGGTGTGCCCCTTCTTCCCAGACACCGAAGGGGTTCAACCCCGGGTATATACACGTGACCGGAGGCGGTTTAGCATGGCGTCATAGCTACTTAAGGCTACGACCATCATGTGAACGGCTCCTGTGAAAAGCAGCGTACCTGCAGCTTAACACTTGCTTGCCTAGTGATCTCATCTACAGGCCAGGTCCGATATTGGCATCTGCGACGGGCACTGCCTGCTGTCTCGGATTAAAAAGTAAAAGAAACCAGTCGCACGCTACATGCCAAAAAAGACACCCATAAGAGTATCCTCATTACCTAAGAAGCTCCTGCAAAGGTCCCTATCAATGGCGTGGTATTGCTCCGGCTCCACGAATAGCGAGCTCATCGCGAATCTGTTTAAGACGGGTCTGATAAAAGATGAAAGAGTGAAGAATGCCATGCTAGGCGTGAGTAGTAGCTCCTATCCCTGGACTTCACACACTGTCAAAACACTGCGGCCAGTGCTTACCCCTGTTTGACACAATCGCCGGACCCGTTGACCCCCTTCTCCCCCGCCCCATTCTTTCACGCCTAGCCACATGTCTGCCTCTTAAAGGGCACTGGACGACCTGACAACATTCCTGCTTTCTGGGTGAAATGGCGTTTCTAACCAAAGTGCAAGGTTGATCGCGCCCACTATGCGCCCTCAAGGCCATACTCCGATTCACCGCAGCCCATCGGGCATGGAGCTACCATATCTGCTCCCCACATGCATGGACATGCCTGTGAATACCTCATCGACTATCTGAAGCCAGGCTCGCGTGTGCTAGACATCGGATCTGGCTCGGGTTACCTCACCCACGTGCTTGCAAACCTCGTCGCGAGTCCTTCGTCCACAAGCGAAGCCGATGGCCAGGTTATAGGTGTAGACCACATTCCGGAGTTGGTGGAACTGGCACAGACCAACATGCGCAAATCAAAAGAGGGGAGTAGCTTTCTTGACTCGGGAAGGGTGAAATTCATTACCGCCGATGGCCGCCTGGGCTGGAAAGAAGGTGCACCGTACGACGCCATCCATGTTGGCGCGGCCGCACATCACCTTCACCCCGTACTCATCGAGCAGCTCCGCGCACCAGGGCGAATGTTCATACCCGTCGATGCGGAGGATGATGAGGCTAGCTTTGGGCTGGGGGGAGGACAGTATATCTGGGTAGTTGAAAAAAGAGAGGATGGTTCAGTCCGCAAAGAAAAGGTGTTCCAGGTTAGCTACGTTCCCCTAACAGACCGCCCAGGAAGATGAGCAAGGATGGAACGAACGTAGAGAAGAGCACAAGGCCAATCCGTATCGAAACAAAATCAACCAGGTCCAGTCTACTCGAATGTGAGACATCAGAATGTTTATGAATACGCTTCTTGAGACACAGTATTGCCTTGTATTAGAAGACCAGGACATGGCTAAGGCACAAAATGGTTGCCAGTCCCGAAACAGACTGGAACAAGAACAAAAGGTGCATGACTTAAGTACAGTATATTCCTCCCAGCAGTTGGAAGTCCGGACCCCAACATTAGCGGAAAGGAAACCCGCCGGGAAAGTTGAAGCCCTGACCCGAGAACTTGAACTGCTGACCGCCGCCCTGCTGGAAGAAAAATTGTCCGCCTGGCCCAAACGGACTCCCCTGAAAAGGCCGGCCCCTTTGTGACTCGGGGTCATTGGGGTCATCGCCGCTGTCGTACCGGGATCGCAATTCAGGATCTGATAGTACCTCGTAAGCTTCATTAATTGAGGCCATTTTCTTCTCAGCCTCCTCCTTGGTAACACCCTGGGAAATGGCCTTATCAGGGTGATGCTGTTTCGTAAGCTGCCGATAAGCACGCTTGATGGTCCTCTCGTCCGCATCACGGCTCACACCCAAAACCTTGTAGTAGTCTTTCTGCTTGGAGCGTTTCTGTAGAACTTGGGCCTTCTGCAACAGGGTCTGAACTTCCCTCGAACTGGAATGATGTTCCTTGGCTTGATTTAGCAACCGTATAGCATCATCAAATCGATCCTCGTCAATAGCTTGCTGACTCTCGAGGAGCAGCGCTGGTAAAGAATTAGGATCGAAAGTTAAAGCCTCAGAGCAGTAGGAACTAGCCCGCTTGGGCATTTGCGCCTAGAAGCGAGACGAGATTTAGTCATGTACCGCGGAAAGGGTGATGTTCAGCAGGGGTTAGGTGTCCCACAAACCTCTCGGAAAACGTCGCAGGTTCGTTCGACGAGTGAGGCATAAAGGCTGCTCGGGGCTTTTGGGTGGATATTACCATCCTCCTTCGCCTGTGCAGCATCCTTCCGCACGTCATCAAGAAGACCGCCTTCACTACCGACTCCTACCAGTATATTGATGGCGTTATTGTGTTTTCGCGCATTCAGAGCGTCCTCCAGTTTTTGCAACTGTTTTACGAGCTGCCTTTCCCTCCTGTAAAGGCGATTGCACGGTTTGGAATCGGGGTCAGAATGCAGACATTTGCGTATTTGGGCGATACCGCGGTCTGTGTCTCCCAAGGCATAGAAAAGTGTAGATGATATCTGTAGATAGGGCTCCAAGGAGCTCGGGTGAATTTGTAGCACGTGAAGAAGATCGCTGATTCCCTGCTCTGTTTCACCAGTCTCAAAGCGACAATGTGCCCGAGCCCGCCGCAGGCTCAAAGACATGGTTGCCTTGGACAAAGCTACACTCGCCTGGCTTACACAGACATCCCAGGCTCCGCGACTTTCCGCTTCCAGCGCGGCAGACGCAGCATCACGCGAATCGCGGAGTTCTTGATACTCTGGTGTGGACCCCTTACCAGCCTTATCAAGATCATCCAACGCACCTGCCCAGTCAGCAGAGCTGGCTCTCAGTCGTGCTCGTTGTAGAAGAGCGCTTTCGAAGTCTGGCTTCAGTTGGAGAACCCGGTCGAAGTCCTCAAGAGCCAGTGAGCTTTTACCAAGGGACAGATGGGTAGCACCTCTCTGAAAGAGTGTAAGATAATTTGTGGGATCTCTGGACACAGCTGCATCAAAATACATCAAGGCCTCGCGGGGGGAACCACCCGCAAGGTGAGTTTTCGCAGAAGCGATCAAAGACGATAATGGGGTGTCAGAGGGAATCTGGGAAGACTGCAGGCCATGGCCAGCGGAAAAAAAGGCCAGAAAGACCGTAAGAGATGTCAGAGGCAAGTGCATGTTCGTCTAGTCCGTGAGACACCTGGAATGGGACTTTGACGATGGAAGCAGGATTAAGTTATGGCGCAAGTATCATAGTAGGTCAGGACGTATGGTCAGTATGAAATGGATGACAAGAGGCTTGAAGGTTGAAAAGAGCGTGAGGGACCCTGAAAAGGTCAGAAAGCACTTTCACATATTATCAATGCCAACAGTAGCGGGCAGGACAGACACTATATCGTCCTTCGTCGAAGGGGAAGGACAAAGGAAGCTTGATCCATGACCATCTTCTTCCAGTCTGGCCTTTACGACATCCTTACATACGGTAATATTACCACCCGTTAGATTCCCGTATGGAGCTCCGTACTTGCCATATCACAACCTCCGCATGCCCCAAATCTCGAGCTAGCCGAGATTCCAGCAGCTGGTTTTCTCGAGTCGGGACCAACGAGCATGGTTTATTCAATCACAGCTCGATAGAACATGTTCAACGCGCCCTGGATATGCGCTCGATGTTTCGTGCGGTCTGCTGCTAGGATTGGTTCCAATCCCCGTCCGTTTCTACAACGGCGCGGCCTAAAAACTGGTCTGCTATACCTTCATATCTATGTCTGTTTCATTGTCTAGCAATAAACTAATATGGTCCGATGTAGATTCTGCCGGCATTTCACAAGCCCTTTTAGCACGCGCTCGTTCTCTGACCAATGAACATTCCACACTCTCCGCTCATTTGGCCGAGGTTTTCGATGCGAAACTCGCCAAAAGAGTGGGTGAACTTGCGCCAATCGCAAGTACCTTAAAAGAGTGGGAACACGCAAATAGTGTATGTCTTTCTCCAATGTGTTTATGTACTGAGCTTTATTGACGAATTGCAGTCTATATCTGAACTTTTGTCATTGCTTAATGACCCGGAAACCGATGCTGAGCTGAGGTCGCTTGCAGTTGAAGATCTGGAGAGCAGCAAGGTCGCGCTGCCTGCCATAGCGGATAATCTGAAGAAGGCTCTTATACCTCGCCACCCTTTCGCAGACCTCCCATGTTTGCTCGAAATACGCCCCGGCGCAGGTGGTGACGAGGCTGGTCTTTTTGCTTTTGAGGTTTTGAGGATGTATATCGCCTTCTGTTCACGTCGTGGCTTCAGGTATAGCCTCATAAAACAGGATGTTGCAGACGGCCCTGCGCAAGACCGATTGAGTGAAGCGGTCCTGGAAATTGACGCGGATGGGGCCTATGACATCCTGAGAACGGAGTCGGGAGTTCATAGAGTACAGAGGGTTCCCGCCACCGAGGCGAAGGGCCGCACACATACCAGTGCCGTTAGTGTGATGATACTTCCTAGTTTTCCAGACTCCGGGAGCGGCCTGGATAGTTCACTCAATTTCGAGGACCCAAACAGCGACTACTATGTGGATCCTCAAGAGGTTCGCACAGAGAAGATGCGAGCCGGTGGCGCAGGCGGTCAGCACGTCAACAAAACCGAGTCAGCTATTCGGTTAACCCATATACCAACGGGTACCGTTGTCTCCATGCAAGATTCACGTTCCCAACATGCCAATCGAAAGAAGGCTTGGCAGGTTTTACGGGCGAGAATAGCTGAAGCAAGACGAGAAGCCCGAGAACAGGAATTGGTTAACCTAAGGAGAGGAGCAATGGGCGGTGTTGCTCGAATGGGACGCGGTGACAAGATCCGGACTTACAATTACGGTCAGAATCGCTGCACAGACCATCGCAGCGGCCTCACCATACACAACCTGGACAGTGTTCTTGATGGTGGTGAGGGCCTAGAAACCGTAATGGAAAGCGTACGGACATGGCTCGTCGAGCGCGAAATAGAGGCCTTGGCTGCTGAAGAATCAGTCCAAGATAAAGAAGGACTGCGTGCCCAACCGCGTTAGGGTCAAGGTATCGTCACAAAGACAGCTATTCGCTTATAGGCATGATGTAGATACAGTCATATCGTATGGCACACTATAAATTCACACGCATCGGGCATTCCGAATAGTAATGGTGTTTCTCACCATGTGTCGCACCTACTGGCCAGGCCAAAGTGCTCCCCATCAAATGTATCGCCTTTCCGGATCGAGACCATCCAAAGCATCCATGGTTTTCTCGTACCTGTAAGAGGGTTAGTCGCATGCACACTGAGCGAAAGGGCTGTTTTAGCACGAACATCGTAAACACTATGCCTCCGCTCATAATCAATCTCGCTAGCCGTGGGACAGCACCAGACCAGAAGGTGAAGATGCCTTCGTCCTTGAAAATACGCGCAGCGCAGACAAAACTGTTCTTGTAGTTCTTGCTGGCTTCCAGCGATTGCATCCTGCTGTTGTGTCAGAGTACGGCTACATTGAAATGATGCACCCCCGGCCTGCCAGATACATACCTTGTCTTGACAGTATCAAGAGGTTGCGTAACATAGCTATCACACAAGAGTGTTAGTATAATGATCGTAAGCAATACCCGAGGGGTAGGTAGGCGTACACAGTGATGAGGCCTGCAATGCCTCCCAGAGCGAAAGTGCTCGCGGTTCCCAACTTCTCACCTGGAGCGACATAACCCTGGGCCATTTGCTTCAACATTGTGTAGCTCGAAAACCTAACAGCTGAGTTGGCAGCCTGTCGTGCAGTCGTAGGGACGAAGCCTTGAAAGAAACCGCGAACACCCCGCTCCTGAAAGATCACTTTACTGCCATGTAAGAATCCACGCATGCGAGGATTTTGTGATTTGCGATCATCGATTCTGCAGTATTCATTGACATCAGACACAGTTAGTTCTATTCGTACAATCCGCAGCAGAAGCTATGGCCCAGTACGATGGTACGATGAGGGTCAAAACTTAACGGACAATTGTGTTTTGATGCTCTCAAATGGAGTAACGGCTAGCAATGACTCTGTAAATCCTGCGCCGAAACCTGCGACGACTGTTCTTGGTCCAGAAATCCTGCCGTTTTCATCCTGCAAAAGCGACTTCAACCAATCGAAGGCGACGAACCCTTTTTGAAGATAGATCTCAGCATAAGTGACTATACCGCTACAAGATCGTTTCGGTGGAACAGGATGGACTCACGAATTCCTGCCTTGAGTGAATTCCCTATAATCAAAGTTGTGCACCCAGCGTACCATTGTGCTCCAAATGGCGGCCATGGGAGTTTCTTTGCGTCCGGTAGTCTGCGATTGAGCTGAGATCGGGTTTTCGCAACTGAGCGCGCCAGGTGTTAACCGATAATTGAAAGGTCCAGGTCTGAAAAGGTCTTACATTCGGCCGGATAGGTGATTGCTGCCATCGAGTTAGCAAGCAGCATCTTAATTTATCATAAGAGAATGGTTACCGATCTCGATTGCACCGGCAGTAGAGCCTGCGATGATGGACCGCAGGCTGCTGGGCTAATACTTTGTTAGGGAGAAACGTTGGTGAACGGTTGGGGTACCAAGAGGATTGCAGCAAACCTTAGGCCTCTTATCGTTCTCGGAGGTTGCCATTGCCAGGATATCTGCTGCAGGACCCGTGTGGAAGTCTGTTAGCCGACTGCTGTGTATTCGCCGGGGGTCGCTCAGCACTAGGAGTCATACTAGGGATACGGGGCTCGGCGAGAGCAACTCCCGCAACCCACCCAGTTACGTGGGGTAAACCTTAGGTAATTAGTAAAGTATTATCAGTTAAGCTTAAACTGGGCTCCGTAGTACCGTTCACCACTCTTTCCCATATTGTAACTTGGGGTGTATGTTCAACATTTATCGAGATGATTCTGGTTGATTCCCAGGGATTAAAGATTTCATTCCGCTAGGCACTACATAGTTTGTAAGCTCTAAAAACCGAGAGAACCCGGCGGCATCAATCACTCCCTGGGGGTTTTCCCATTTGTTTTTTAATTTTTTTTGTCTTTTTCTTTCTCTCTCTCTTTTATTTTGTGCTTTGCTTCTGCCCTTTTCTTTTCCACTTCTTTTCTTTTTTTGAAGGGGGGTTTTTCTTTTTTCCCGTCTCTTTTCCTTCGGGTTTGTCACTTCAATTCGTGATATCCCCACCCGTTTCACCTTTGTGCATAACATCAACGCACAAACTCTCCTGCCTCCCCCCCACCCCCTTTCCCAGCTGTTAATCACAGTCGCGCCACCGATGCTAGAGACAATATGAAATGCCAGATTGAGTCCCTAGTCGGCGAACACAAAGCAATTCATGTGCCTTGAGACCGAACGAACGTCGAGCCCCTGCTGTACTTCACAAAGACGCCCATCAGCAGGTGATGAAAAATGCCAACTGCGATGTTTATGATGGCGAAGTACTGCTAGGTGACTGGTTGTGAGGATGCGACGCGTGAGAAAAGGGCCAGATCACTCGGTCCGACAATGGCTATTGTATGAAGCCACAAAATAACAACAAACTCCATTAACGCAGTGCGCCGAATGCAAATCGCAGACCACAAATTATGCAGATAGTTGTAGTCATGACTGAGCCAAGGTTCAGAGGCATGTCGTGAAGTATTTCAACTCGGCGCATCATTCACCCTAAAGATTTGAAGTCGTATAACGCATATGCAATGACGGGAGAGCCGTGCGGCTATGGAAACTGATCAGTAAATACCCACCTGTTAGTTAAAAAGAGACCTTCAAACGCCAAGAGAAGAAGGTCGAAATTCAAGCCCGGAAACGCCCCGAAACCGTGAATCGAAACATCTGGTGTGGAGCAGAAGGGATTATGTACATGGAAGGAAGCCAGAAGGCCAATAATGGTGCTCACCGTACCAAGTGCATACCGTCTAATGCAGGTACATAGTGCTTTGGCGTGGCGAAGTGAAGAAGAGGGTGGGGTAGGGTATAGGATAAGATGGTAGGAAGCGGGAAGTGAGGCGGCCGAAGAGGTACACGGAACGGAGAGAGAAGGGAGAGCATGCGTTATAATACAGTTCTTCAAACGTTATCATAGATCATAGTTGATATGATATCGGGCAAGTGAATGCAGCAACGATGACAGAAAGAATGAATTTGTAGTGCTTGAACAAGCTACCGTAGTCACTTGCAACCTGGCCTCTCCAAACGAAAAAAAGACCCGGGAGAGGTTGAAGAGAAAAGAAAAAGGGGGTGGGGGGGGGAAGAAAAGAAAGCTAACAGAACAATGAACTTGAAAATATGATAGAAAGGCAAGGAAACATGCAAGATATGAGTAAAAAGTGGAAAGATAAGAGACAGAGAAGCACATGATCCTATGTCTATGACACTTGCGTTGGGTGGGACTTGCCGCTCGACTGTCCTTGAGTGCCAAACTTGGTATCGTTCTGCATGTTGCGACGCTGGCCTTGTCCACGACCTCCGCGGTAAGAGCCCCGGCCCCTACCATATTGGTACTGCCCACCATTCATATGGTGGTTGTGACGACGCTCACCAATGTTTGCATTCGCAGCTTGGGCAGTAATCTGGGGCTGGGATGGATTGGCAATAGGGCGTGGAATTGTGTCCGGTGAGTCATAGACGTAAAGCTTCTTGTCGATGTTTTGTGGAATTGGCTGGATCTCAGTTCCAAGTTCCTGCTCAATCTTATATAGATTGAACCGGTCTTCCCAATTGATAAGGTTGATAGCAAGACCAAGATGCCCAAAGCGGCCAGATCGACCAATTCGGTGCAGGTAAGTCTCGGCGTTCTTCGGAAAATCAAAATTTATGACAACATTGACGGCTTGAATGTCAATACCTCGAGTTAACAAATCCGAGCAAACAAGGTTCCGGCAAACACCATTCCTGAAGTCGTGGAACACCCGATTGCGATGCTGCTGAAGCATTCTGGCATGGGAGTAGAAGCAAGAATAACCCAGTTCCGTTATCTTCTTAGCGAGCAACTCGACACGGTTGGTAGAATTGCAGAAGATAATAGATTGATTGATTTGTAACTTGGAGAAGAGTGTGTTCAAGCAGTGGACCTTCTGCTTTTCCTCAACGAAGGCATAATACTGCGTGATTCCACGGAGAGTGAGCTCGTCCATGAGATTGATCTCGTACGGATTGCGCATGTGTTTGTCCTAAGAATATCAGCATCCATGTGATTGATATCTCCATGCACGGAGCATACCTTGAATGACTTCACAATAAGCGGGAAGGTGGCGCTGAAAAGCATTACTTGGCGGTCTTTAGGATGGAATGATAGTAGTTGCTCGATGACTGGAGTAAATTCAGGTGACAGCAACTTATCAGCCTCGTCCATAACAAATGTAGGACACTCGGAGAGGTCAGCAACCCCTTTGCTGGCCAAGTCCAGGACTCTCCCTGGGGTTCCAACGAGGATATGGACTGCGTCGTTCAGCCGAATAATGTCATCCATCAAGCCGGTACCTCCTGTGGTGACCATAACATTGATACCGAGGTGCTTTCCCAAAGTTTTGCAGACATGTGACGTTTGGAGCGCCAGCTCTCTTGTAGGAACAAGGATAAGGGCTTGTGTCTTGGTGCTTTTAGGATTGATGCGCTCCAAGGTAGGAATAACGAAAGCTGCTGTTTTTCCTGTGCCATTCTTGGCTCGCGCCAAGATATCCCTGCCTGTAAGAGCGACTGGTATCGTCTCTTCCTGAATTGGAGAAGGCTTTTCGAAACCAGCTTCGAATATACCCATCATCAGTTCGCGTTTGATGTAGAAGTCTTCGAATTCCAAGCCTTTCGTAGCAGTCACATCCTAAGCCGCATTAGATTGCAATCAACATCCATACCCATTGTTCATGATCCAGACGAACCTCAGTTTGTGGTCTTGCATCTTTGGCAGGGACATTCAATTGCTCCTTCCACTTCGCGTCTGAGCTCGCATCCCTTCGAAGTGTTCAAGTTAGCCTCATCATATGGATAAACCAGCGTGTGACGGTGAATGTACCCTAAAGTAGTGTTATTCAGCTGAGAGGCCAAGGCGTCGGTCATGATGATCAGGTGTAGAAAGAGGTAATATTGGAATTCAGGTGGGGTAGGTTGCTTGTTCTTCCTCCAAATATATGTTGCGGAACACTCAAATGCGATGGGACAGACAGTGATGATTACTAGCTCGATCCAAGTCTGAGATACATTAGCCTGTGTGATCTCACGAGGGAAATGATATAAATCAAAGTACTTAATGTTGGGAAATCCTATCTTCGAGAAGACCGGAAGCCGGGTGGACAACACAATGTGGTGAGCTGAATGAGTTGGCCGGATGCAAAGATTGTGCTTCCGTTCCCAATATAATGAGGCCGCTCGGAGCCGAATGAGGATGAAAAGAGCTATGCTTAGAGATAAACGAGACAAGGGTGTATTTGAGGGGCCTCTGATGATTGAATCGTCAACTGGAAACTTGACAGCGACTTGATGTGAAGTGCCTGTGTGCGGGCCGTTTGGTTGGACGTCAGGAACGAAACTCGGGAAGACAGAACTGGGTGGGTGCCACGGATGTGGGCTGCGATTCGAACAATTCGGACGTATGGGTAGCCGATCCTAAGATTAGGTGTTGGATTGGGTTTGAGGAATTTTATTTGACGGATTTGACTCGCACAGAGTGAAAGGCGAATGGCTTATCGTAGAAAGTGAAGTGGAAAGAGGATGGAAAACTTCAATGTGGTGGTGGGAGTGGTGAATAATACGCATCATACACATAAATACGGAACAGCAGCTTCCGCAGCACGGGTCATGTGGCAGTCTTACTTAAGGTACCTAGGCACATACGTAGGCGGTAACTACTAGTTACTCCACACCGCAAAGACCGACTCTACTAAACATTGGGCTGCTTTACAACGCCGGGTTCAATACATTGAAATCTTGAGTTCTTATCTAGGCTAGCAACTGCTTAGATATTTCATCTACTATCGGATTCATCAATTTGCCAAGGCTCTAGGCTTGACATATTGCTCTAACCCCGGGTTTTCAAAGATTCTGCTAGTGAGACACGGATTTTGATTTTCTCCCACTGCGGAAGACGATCTTATCCCTCCATATAGTGTCTCAAGTATAGCAAATGCGGCAGTATACCGTGCCCAGGCCATAATTTTCCCGGTCTTATCCTATGGCCCGCAAGAAGAACGAGGGGAACTGGTTACTGCATGAAAGGACTCTAGAAAGTAGATGAAAACCGTTGATGCATAAAGAGGATATGCAGTGAGGTTGAAAGAAACGGACCAAAGCGCCCCGCCCCCCCCCCCTCCTCAAAAAAGGGACAGAGAATGGATAGTCTGGGAGAATAGAGTAGGAAATGAAGTCCAGTGATGCAACAGCCACTGCAAATTACCGTGAAAACGTTAGTCTTGTCTGACCCCTCTCGGGCTCCGCCAACCTATAGGGAACATGTTAGCTGCAGTTCAAGCAATCTCGTTCACAGACGTACTCCTTTACACAGACGTCAGGCGCCAGAGTAATTTCTGATCTTGACCCGGGGGTAATAAGAATGAATTGCCGTCCTATCGACCGTCTGGCAGCTAGCATCTTATAGGCCCGTTAGCACGTACAGATTGAGCGTGATAAGTCCGACATACAAGCATATCGATAGCCATCTTCCTGTTAATGTGATCCATGTACACATCGCTAGAGAATTCGTGTCAGCTACAGGGCTTGTTGAAGGTTCTGGATAACTTACAATTCATCTAAGCAACGAATTGGAGACCCCATAGCCTCCCACAATGCCAATAACAGACATACTTGAGAAAATGACTTCTCGCCGCCAGAAAGTGTCTTCGCACCACGACCAGCGCTGTCTTTTGTGATGTCCGGTTCCACCTATGAAGCCCTGTCAGAGTACTGTAGCAACAATGACGGCCAAGAGCAAACATACTTGTAAGTCCAGAAGCTTGCCCTCATGATCGGTCAGAAGCCGACCTCTGAAGCTTCTTTCACTCAGAAGGTAAGTGAATTGTGCCTTGGCACGGGATGAAATGTGTGATCTAAAAATTAGCCAGCGGTTTTTGCGGACATTCAGTGTCGCCTTCAGAACCTTGCTTTTATGTCAGCAACTGGATGTTTCATGGGGAGAAGGGGAGAGGTCTGTACGTACTTCGGCCAACAACCTAAACTCCTCTACTTGCTTCAAAGCTCGATCATAGGCTTCGCTAGCCTTTGTGACCTCAGCAAGTAACTCGTCGCGAGATGCTCCCAACCTACGCAATGATTAGCGCTTCATACTTGTAGACATATGATTATACTGACTGTTGCTCGTAGCGCTTGATGTCGTTGTGAAGTCGTTCGAGTTTTCTGTCCAGACTAGCCGCTGTTTCACCTTCCTCGATGGCAACTCGGTCACAGATTATATTTGCCTTTTCGCTGAAGTCAACGATACGTACCGCGATCTCATCTCGCTTGTTCTTGACTCTATCTCTGTCCCGCTTGCGATCCTCGATTCTTTCTGCTGCTGCGTTCTTATCATTTATCCTCTTTCGGCGCTCTTCATCAGCCTTGCGTTCCGCATCCTGAGCAACTTTGAGCTCTTCCTGTACGATGGCAATCTCAGCGTCTTTGGCCGCGAGCTCTTGCTTGATTGCTTTCAGTTTTTTCATCATGGCCTCCATAGCATCGCTGGCGTCATTCAAAGATCCTTCATTAAGGTGCCTTTCCTCTTCTGCCTCTTGCAGTGTGGTCCGAAGCCCGTCGAGGCGCCCATCCTCGGGAGCCTCCCTGTCAAGCGCATCCATCAACTCTTCGACACGGTCTTCCATTCTCTGTGCTGCAATTCTTAGTTCGTTTGACCTTCGGTCGTGTTTTTGACGGGCTTGCTTGCAGCTTTCCAGCCGAGACTGAGCAGACCGAAGCTCTTGTTCGTGACGGCTAAGGTCCTGCTTTAGATCTGCCACGACACTCTGCTGTACCCTAAAGAAGTTGTTAGCACTAGCAGGGGGCCTTGTAGAACGATAGATATTATTCACTTAATTTGAGATTCCCGATCAGACCTCATTCGCGGAGACCCCTTGTAGGCTGGGACTGGTGCTTGGCTTGGTTCACCAGTCCTGCTAAAAGAAAGATGAATACCCCTGCGTCTGTTTGTTTGGTCAATGCAATAACAACGTTTAACGTTTCTAGGCTGTTGCCCATCAAAGAGAACAGAAGATGCTTCTTCTAAGTTCTCAATAAGCAGCATCTTTTCTATATGATGGTTGATGATCAACTGTCCACGAACCCACTCGTTATCAAACTAAAAGCGAATTAGTCCGACCAGACTCCCCATGATGGCGCTTATAGAAGTTCCTCACCTCAAGGACCCGCAAGGCTGTATCGTACTGAGAATCGGGTTCATTGCCTGAAGTATTGATGTGTTTATCACTCCCTATCAGAACGGGGCACTCACTTTCGGCAGTGTCAGAGACATCAAGTTTGTGACGAAGATAGAAAACTCACCAGTTAACCCTCCTCATGATCTGGAAGAGAATCTTCGAGTCTCTGGGTGAAGTTACCACAAAGCTGTTCAGCGTGGTGCCGAATGCGTTCTCAAGAATCGAAGACCACTCTGGCTTGAGCAGGCGCACGTAATGACCAAGAGGCCCGACAGGACGATTAGTAAAGGAACGTTCTTGTTCAATGGCTCTCAAAAGGAATGGCATTCTCTCGTGAAACCCAGAATTCTGTGGACCCCCTTCCCTTTCCAGGGTTGACAAAAGCGATTCAGCCTCCTTGACATCGGCCCTGATTTTATCGACTGGCCCTTCGGCCTCCCGAACTTTTTCTTCAGCCTCGTTTATGTCATGGAATAGACGGTCACGGTCGCTACTATGTTCCTCATACTGAGCACGGGCTTGGGAGGCTTCTTCTTTTGCTCGCTCAAGTTCCTCCTGCTTTCGAGTAAAGCTACCGCCGCTAATCTCGGCTAAACGCCGGTTCTCTTCGTCAATACTCCGTTGAGTAGTAGCTATTCTTTCTTCTGCTGCCTTGAGATATTCTCTGATCCGGCGTTGTTCGGCCTAGAGATAACATTAAAAAGCTCTTCATGTGAATGCAAGGTGGTTACGGATCATACCTGCAGTCCATGACGCTCAGTCATTTGCGCATCCCACCTCGCTTGGATTTCGTCTTTCTCATCTTGGACCTGGCCTCGCTTCGCATTAGCTTGGCGAACAGATCCCGCGGCGGCCTCAAGCTCAGCTGCAGCCGCGTTAATAGTAACATCAAAATTGGTCAAATCAGCTTCGTCAGCTGCGATCTGGTTGTCTGCCGCAAGAAGTTCTTCGTCTAAAGAGTCCCTTATCTGTTGGCTGTCAGAAAGTAATGGATGATTTGGGAAGATATAAGGATACCCTTTCTTGTTCCTCTACCTGAGCCCAGGCCATTTGATTTCGAACATTCCTGATCCGGTTCCGCAGGGAGTCATGTTGGTTGGAAATATCAAGCTTTCGGTTCGCAGTTTCCTTCCTACTTTGCAATATCGCTATATCCTGTTCCCGGCCCCTCAGTTTCTCCTCGATTTGGTCACCGGATTCCTCAATTAACCGATAATCTTGATCGAGCTGCTCGAGTTGAACGCCCTTCACAAAAAACTTGTATTTCTCACTAGGACTTGATGAGCCGATGAATTGGCGGGCCATATCCTGGGAGAGAACATTCATTGGGTTGTCGAATTGCAGGGTGAAATAGTCAATGATGGCATCGAGCTCTGACTTCTTGGTGGACATGATACGGCCATTTTCTGATCTTATCTTGAACCCACTTGTGCCATTTCTGGAGAAGTGGCGTTCTATAGTGATAAACTTGCCATAATCATCTGGCAGATAAGCGCCATCTCCTTGGTTCTTGATTCGCACAACAATGGTTGCATGCCTTCACTGCAACATTAGAACTATTCACGAGAGGGTTCGGGTATCGCTTACTCTTTGCCTTCCTTGATGAAGCTTTTTAGACTCTGGCCTCGATTGGTAGTAGATGCCTTACCCCCTAAGCAAAGAGTAATGGCCGTGAGGACTGCACTCTTGCCGCTACCATTTTTGCCCACGATAAAGTTGATTAGAGGGCCTAGATCAACATAAAAATGGTCATGGCACATGAAATTGTAACACTCAACACGCTCCAATATGCCATGCTCGGCAGGTATATTTGGTTCATCAGTAGCAAACGAATATTTTTCTTGGATGACCTGGGTAGCCCGTAACTCAAGTTCATCCTCATCGTCATCATCAAGAGCCTGCGTAAGGGATCGGACTCTTGATTCTTCATCACCATCATTTCTGTCCACCGCGCTCCCCTCTGAAAGAGGACTGTTAGTCCTACAGAGGCGTTTTGGCTAGTTCGTCCAGGTTAGCGGCCTTACTTATACGTTAAGACTGCCACATACCGAAGTCGAGTAGCCGCTAGTATTTTCATCGTCCGAGTCCGAAGGCTCTAGGGACGTTTGAGAGCGTTTCATTGACGGCATCGAGGAAAGGCGGCTGAAATATCGGGATTACAACTGGCCATAGCATATATTTGAATAGAAAGGGGAGACGAGAGAATGTTCAAGATTAAATGAAACGGTCGACAAAGAACCAGATTGCTCCTTTCATTCACTACTTGGTGGCTTGGCCGCTGAAGCCGAAAGAACTGTGCCCATCTTTGTTTCGTGTTGGAGGCTTATCGGATATTGATAAGTCGCGTCGTCGCGCGTCGTCATTACACGTGACATGAAAGAAATCCAATTAAGGCTCCTTCGGGAGAAGACTGGAAGGAAAAACACCGCAAATATCCCCACCCTGCGGTTGATGTTGTCTTACGGAGCTCGCTGCTTGCTAACTTCCAAGAAGGTACTTGATGCAGCCCTTTTGGGGCATAAAATACCATCTTGCCTACGTACGCTGTATACCTTGCCATTGCTTTGATGCAAAAGAACAACTGGTGATCATTGCCTCTAGTGATTATGCGCGAATTTCTTGGAATTTGCGATGCTACAGTGTCCTTCACCCAAATGATATGACTTATACTGGGACGAAGCATCCCTAGGTACTATGCAGAGAGCTGCAAGCTTCAATGTATGCCATGAGGCCCCAGGTACCTTCGAGGTCCCACTGGAAGAGGACAAGTCATCCACCGGATATTCTCACACTGTGAGTGAGAGGGGTGACGTAGACTCAAGCGACTGCGAAGGTCTCCAAAGTGTCATACGGTCAGATGTCCATAGGCTCCTCCGCAACGTAATGCAAATACGCTCCCAGCAACTTGATTCCTTCAATATAATTCCTCTTATCGAGCTTCTCGTTGATCGAATGAGCAGCATCAGTCGAGCTTCCCATAGGTAGGAGGAGGACATTCTTGCCTGTAGCTTGCTCGAAGCTTAGTGTGACAGGGATACTATATGGATATCAGTCTCAAAGTATCTGAAGCAGTGTAACAGATGGCGAGTATGAATCAGAAGACATACCTGCCACCCTCACGGGTCATATCCGGCTCAACACCGAAAACCTGTTTCACGGCTTTGCTTGCAGCTGAGAAGTTCCAATGCTTCGGGCTGGCAACCCACCACTTTCCATCATGCTGGAGCCACACGTTCAATGTGTTCTTGCTATTCAATTTGGCGAACTCTGCCTTGACATAGTCGAAGACGAGTTTGTTCACGTCCTCACTTTCCATATTCGGCACAGTTCGGATTGAGAACTTGCCGATGACCTTAGCTGGAATTACTGTCTTCGCGCCAGGAGCAGAGTATGCGCCCTCAATGCCATGGAGAGAAAGAGACGGGTACCTCCATCTTGCCATGAGAGTTCTCTCCTTGGTGGAATGGATGCTTGTCTCGCTGCCCAGTGACTCGTGAAGATTATCCATAGTGTAGTTGATGCCAGGGTATAGGGATTTTTCTTCCTCCGTAAGGGGCTCAACAAGGTCCATGATTCCAGGGATCAGGATATTTCCCTGCGAATCGACAAGTTTAGAAAGCACATGAACCAGATCAGTCATCGGCTCGTGGGCTGTGCCACCAAAGACCCCGCTATGCAAGTCCTGACCAGGGCCCGAAATGCTCACGGAGTAGTAGTTGCAGCCTCGGAGCCCGTAGGTCAAGCAAGGCTTTTCGGTCCCAAGCCAATAGTTGTCCGAGATGCAAACGGCATCTGCATCTTTGAAAAATTCCTTGCCCTCGGTTTGAATGAACTCTTCCAAACCTTCTGAGCCATACTCCTCCATCCCCTCAAAGCAACAGAGCAGATTGACCGGGAACTCAACACCAGCCCTTTTATGAGCTTCAATAACATTCAGCCAGCCGAGGACGGGACCTTTATCGTCCGTGCTTCCGCGCCCGTACATTCTTCCCTGATCATCGACGGTCAACTCGAAAGGCTCTGTCGCCCAGCCATCTTCTTTCAAAGCCGGCTGCACGTCATAGTGCCCATAGACCAGGATGGTTCGCTTGCTCTTGTCATTACCATAACGAGCAAGCACAACCGGGGGAAGATCTAGGTGCTCTTTTCCAGGTTGTTTACCTAACGGTCTCTGTTCCACTTCGGCACCCAAGTTCTCAAGCTCGGAAGCAAGAAACTGGGCCATCTGATGGGGGAAAAAATGAGGGATTAGTTTAGTAGTGATGAGGGCTGAGTCAGGTTGCAGTACACACCTTGAAGACATCCTTTCTATTCTCATCCTGTGCGGAAATAGATGGGATAGCGACAGCCTTTCGTAGACCTTTTGGGTTATTTGAGGATGTATCCTCCACAGCAGGAGTTTGGGAGAGCGTGACGTACGGTCAATGAAAGAGCCCGACAAATCGTCGACCCTGTGCAGATGGTCACCCAAATCATGTCAGCCAGCGGACCATAGTAGAAGCATATGCCAAGGAAGGAAACGGCCAAAGTAGAAGCAAAACCAGCAATGACAAAAAAAAGAGGACGAGTAAAATGAAGGTGGCTTACTGCTTGAAGAAAGGTTCAAGTTGCGGTGCCATTTTCGGATCACTGATATTTCCGTAAAATGAGCGGCGTAAAGATAGATAGCGTATTTGGTGTTGAATGGAAGATATTCGAGGCGCCCGGATATCCTTGAAGTGCGCAGGTGATGATGACAGATATAATCTGCACTCCCTCCAGCTAAGCGATGTTGCAATGCGACGGAGGGGGAGGGGCATTTGTGCTGTGGAAGATAATGGAAGTAACCTGATTTGCTTGTTGGGTTGACACAGGTTTACCTAACAGTATCCTCGCTATCATTCGGTTGGTTGTCCGTCCTGCCCACCTCGGCTTGGTACTACTTAAGAAGGTTCCCGTTCCGGAGCGCAAATAAGCGCCCATAGCCATTAATGAGCATCTAACCTCGATAAGAACCAGGAGAATGTGGGCGCTACTGAAAGGTGAAGAAAAGAAACAAAGCCAATAACACAGCCAATCTTCTAAAATACATTTCATTTCCCAAGAGTGACAACGCTAGAATACATGATTTTATACAAATGTTGAGCTTCCTCGATGCATGTTCGCAAGCGAACAAGTCTCTTTGGTACATCCAATCGAAAGTAAGGCGGTGCGTGACAGAAAATATGATTTGAGGTAAAGACAAGTGGGGGAAAATAATAGCTGATTGTGGCTTTACTGATCCCTTCCCCATGTCTCCTTCCGCAGCTGTCGGTCTTCTCTGGCCATCCGACGTTTCGATCCCCATCTTGATTGCACAGCTTCCAGAATTCGCTTTTGGATGTCCTTCTTCTCTGGACTAGCCTCACAGACCATTGCAATAAACATTGGGGAACAGTCGAAGCGCTTGGCCAACTTCAACCGACTCCATGTCATCGGATCAGTGGCCCTGAGCCTGCGAATCTCTCTTATATCTGATGGGTTTAGATGGTATTTTTTCTCGGTGGTCACTTTGGCTGCGAGGGGAAGGGATTCGGCGTTGCTACCCTTGACAGACGCGTTGCGCAAATTTCTCCGGATATCATCAGAGGGCAAGAATTTAGTGGGCGTGTGGTAAACTGACGGCGCACTTGACGGTGGGTTGTAGATGATATGATCCTCTTGAGAATGGCTCACAGAAGAGCCAAATGAGGCATCTGGCTTGACACGTAGACGCTGCTTTGTGCGCCTGTATGAAGACTGATTGCGTCGCAAACCTAGGGTGACGCACTCGTAAGGAGAGGGCAGAAGGAATGGCAGTGCCAGAAGAGGCCGCCTAGGAGCTGCAAGGCAATTCGCCATCGCGACCAATCTCAGTCTTTTCGGCTCTGAGATGATAGCAAGTAAGCAGCTACAGCTGGAGGAAGAGGTGGCCGTCAGATGGTACCTAGTGCAAGGAAGCAGAAGTGAGTAATTAGTGAATCATTGATTTAACATAAATATACAGCACATAAGAAGTGCTAAAGTGGAACACATACGAGAAGATGCCAAAAGCCTAAGATTAATTAGACATAGCCAAGTAGAGGTTTGTAGGGGAGGTACCGGACGAAATTGGGGAAGTCGACTTTTTCCGAACTGCTAGTCTCGTGACTCTGGCGCCGCACTAGCCTAACTGATCATGTAGAGAAACTTGGGTACAGACCTATTTACACCGTTTAGTCTTCGCTTTTCAGCCGTTATTGTTATTAGAGTCTTTGTCCTGATTATCTTTATAATTATCGCTGTTCTTTAAAATAACCTCGAAAGCAATTCGGAGCACTGGGTGCACCAGCTGGTTTAGCTTATAGCTGCTTCTTATCATGAAGGTAACTAAGAAGATCAATCACCTATGGTTTCCCGGCAAGTTTGCCCAGCTACTTGGGCCCTTAATATATTTGTATTTGTAGGCTATCAGGCACGCTAGTACACTGTACTCTTAAGCGTCAGTGATCACGGGGACACGTAGGCACGGACATGGATGTCGTGCAGATAATTTGTATTTGGTTGTCAAAGGGTCTCTAGTCTAAGGGTCCACAGATACAACACTCGGAGAGTGGTTGTTGGCTTGATAGATAAGTGGAACACGAGTGAAAAGCTAATAGAGCAAAATATTCATCGCGGTACTGGGCTAATTTCTGGAACCTCAAGCCATGGCTCATTGGCTATGATAGGCCCTTGGAAGTTCAGTACTCTCTTTCACCAAGCTACCAGGCAGTCCACTAAATATGTAGTCACCCGAAAAGCTTTGGCATGAAAGTCGCATGTTATGTAGGTCATATGATGCATGCTTTCGTAAGTCTATAAACGCTCTTTCCAGGAAGCCTGCATCATGTGTTTACTTCAGCGACAGCATTCAAAGCTTGCTGGAATCGCTGGCGAAGATCCGAAACATCTTCTAAGCCGACACTTATCCTTACTAGGTCAAAGTCGACACCAAATGAGCTTGCCTAAATGATGGAAAGCATGAGTATATACCCAACTAAAAGCGAAGTTTATGCCGTGTCGGGGATCGGAGAGGTTGACATACCCATTCTAGTTCACTATAGTGCGCCAACAGAGTGTAAGGGCAACTGCATCAATGTTAACAGGCTTGTCGCCCATTTTCCTGCCATGAAAATGACCTACCTCAGTGTAAAATTAGTACCGAGACTAGGTCCTTTGAGTACTTCGAGTTGATCAAAGAAAGCAACTGCCGCTGCCGTTGAATGAAATGTAACCGAAAATAGACCGCCATATCCTCCATTTTTGTTGCGGAATGCTTCATACAAGGGTCTTGAAGAGTTGTACTTCGGATAGTAGACCTTTTTCACTGCAAGTCAGTTAGCATTGAACGCATTGGGCAGGTACATCGAGCAATGACACCCAGTAGTCCAACATCGAAGGGATTTGATTGTTAGCTTACCGAGTGGAGAGTCCTCCAACATCGCTGTGATGTCTTCCGTAGTCTTATTGATCTTATCAATTCTGGATATGAAATCGCGGCTATTCCTTTCGAGGAACACGGCATCTTCTGCCCAAAGATTGTCCTCATATTCGCGTGCAAATATATCTTTTAGAGGACCGTAATGATGCCCATGGGGGTTAAGTACTGCACTCCCTCCCATAACATTACTGTCACCACTGAAGATCTTGGTCAAGCTGCTTACCACAATATCTGCATAGGGAAGCACATTGATGTTGAGGAAATTCCCAACCGTCTCATCTACTACAACAGCGAAGTTATACCTGTCGGCGAGTGACCGGATCCTCTTCAAATCAGGGGCTTTCAGTAACGGATTGCCCGGAAATTCAGTGAATAGAGCGAGGAATCTCTCTCCTTTCAGTAGCCTTGACTCCAGGTCATCAAGATCCTCCGAAGAGCCATGACCATAGAACAAACAGCCCGGGCCCCATTTTTGAAGTATCTTTAGGGTGTCGGTGTAGGGAAATCCAAAGCAGATGCTCTTCATATCTCCCTTCGCAACCATCAACATCTGATGAGCGTTGAAGATGGAACTCATGCCGGTCGGAAAGAGAAAAACATCGGACTCTGTCAGCCCCGCGACACGTCCTTCTCCTGACTCTTCTTCAAGGGCCTCGTTAAGCTCCACATCGGCTGTCAAAACGCCCGCAATGCGTCGCCGTACAGCCAGCCTTGCCTGACCGGCCAGCGAGGTGCTTAGATTCCGACCGAATCGTTCTTCAATGAACTGGACATGTTCGCGGCCATCTTGCATGCTGCTGGTTGTCGTAATTGTACCTGTAGTACTGTCGCGTGCGTGCGTCCCATTTCCCTGAGACTTTCCACTTATGGACTCTCGACCCTGATACCTCCTGGGCCCCTTGAAAAACCGTGGCGATGCAATACTTTGAGCTACAGGTTTCCTTTCCATGAGAGACCCATTCCTTAAAGCGTTCAGGCAGAACTCAGCACGTCTACTTGAGATTCCATTTCCTGTATGTTGCCAGACCTGCTTGGCGATTGGCGCGTATTGGATGGGATATATCACACACGATAGTATCAAGTCTGTACCAGACGGCGCGTCTTTGCCCTGAATGGGAAGGGCAAAATCTACTGTCCGGACATTGCAGGGTTCCTCGGCTTGTATTTTCGATTTGAGAAATGAATAGCAGACCCCTGATGTTTTGAGGGAAGGGAATAGTATAGCCGTTTCCAATTCTGGGCTTCCATAGCGACGTACGATCTCCCTCGCCAGATCCTGTATGATGGGGTGTATAAAGAACCGAGGATAACCGCATTGCATCTTATTCACAACCCATGACTCTCCTTCCTCGTATGCAACATTCGCTTTCCATGTTGGAAGGGATACACTGACTGCCTATGAGGATGTGAGTAAAGCCCAAATGTGATTTGAAATAGCTTCTAAGCCTTGCGCATCTCGTCCGAGCCAAGACGGCGACCGAGACAAAAACTAAAAGGGTGGTGAATAGAAGCTGGGCGGGGTTGCGCGGGGTTAGAACATACGTGATCAGTGTGAGGAGGGACTGGGCCTCCGATGTCTTGGATCATTGTAGCACAAAGGAAACGGCACTATATCGAAGACAGTAAGAACAGAGGCGGACAAAAGAAGGTACGTAGTGTAAAGAATGTTAGCAAGGTGGCGGATGGTGAAGAAAACTTGTCAGGACAATAAGTAACTACTAACTAGTAGTTTGTACTAATTCTAATGAGTCAACTGCGATTTCGGCGCTGCCCTCAGAGAAGTCTAGCCAATGATCAATGCCAGTACATCCCAGGACAATTTGCAACTCATTAGATAGAGTATCATTGTAGCCATCATGCTTAGTCCCTAACTAATAAGTATTATAAGCCCCAAAAATCTATTTCTACTTCTGTTCCTCATTCCTTAGATTGTAATGGTGAGGGAGGGTTGACTGATACTGTTAGGCTGTTGCACTTGCTGCATGGTAATACGGAAGGGCTACCTTACACTGTATGCGGGGTACCTATCTCCGAAGTACTAGATAGATATGACAAGACCTGAATACAATATTACCCAAGAAAATAGAAATTATGTTATATAATCCATGGAAATAAAGGGAAAAAAGGGAAAGGCCTTTGATGTAGAACTAAGTAGTACTAACAGTAGTAGCTTGGGACGAATCCAATTGCACCTGGAGTCCCAACGATGCAAGACACGACCTCTTGGTCTTACACTGGTCACTTACACTAGTCAGTTACGGAGTACCGGGAGTAACTACTAGCTAACTGTGGTTAACTACAGATCCATTCATCTGGCTGCTTACTCAGCTAGCTATCTCCACGTGAGAGTGGGTATCGGAGATCGGACGTTGCTTTCCCGTCAAGTCAAAAATCAAGAGGCTAAAAATTACAGCAAAGGGGAAAAAAAAAAGAGGGAAGGACTGGAGGTAGTAAACAAAACGACGCAGACATTGCAGTCTATTCGAGACAGCTAGTCCATCACAGGGGAGGGTACTTTTTACACAACTGCCAATTTTTTCCTGCTCGGGTCGCATTTCCAACAACTTCCTCAATTAACGCTCAGAGCAGTTTTTGTTCCTTGAAGCCTTTTCAATATGTCGGCCCATACAGCAAAAAGAAGGAGACTGAGCCCTTCACCGGACGATTCCTCGCGTACACAAAATAATAGTGCATACTCGGTATCGAATCGAAATAGACTGACTGATAGCGATGCCGCTAAATCCTCTCGAAAGTCCGACGTTTCTACTCTGCGCACCAGTGGGCCTTCAAAGAACGACCGCTCCGCTGAACTTGCGCTCGCCAGCGGTTTCTATAAATCCACCTTTTTCAAGCTACAACTGGACGAACTACTGAATGGGTCGAGGCCGAACTATGACAAACAAGTCTCGCGACTCCAGGAGACACTTCACAAGTTGAAAAGCGTTATCGAATGTCTTCCAGATAGGCCACCAAAATCAACCTTTGAAGCGGAGAAGGAGCTGCGTGGCGCGCATGGAATTACCGTTCCATTCCCTGAACCTCGCCCGGCCAAGGATACAAAGTACACCGTATCCTACTCGAAACCAACAAATATCAATGTGGTCGGAAGTCTCTCTTTGAAAACAGGTGTCAAAAGCGATGTACCGTTGACGGTGGACTTGGCAGTCACGATGCCCAGTGCTTTGTTTCAGGAAAAGGATTACGTGAACTACCGCTATTTCCACAAGCGGGCATATTACATCGCGAGCCTTGCTGCCGGGATTAGGGAAGCGGAGGAACTGAATCTCACCGTCAAATTTGGGCTTCAAGATGGTGACAGCCTTCGTCCTGTTCTTCTACTGGAGCCTAATAGCACCGAGAGAAAGGAGTCCCTGCCTGCAAAGACTCAGATTCGTATAATTACGGCCATCGAAGACTCCTTGTTCCCAATCTCTCGGACCTTGCCGTCGAGAAACAATATTCGCCAGGGCTCAACGGATGTGCCTGTGTCTCAGGAGTCCACCCCATTCTACAATGCCGCTCTTCGTTCAGAAGCCACAGTGGCACAGTATCACAAGTTTCTTCACAACGCTGCTCGGAATTGCGAATCCTTCAAGGATGCCTGCATTTTAGGCCGGACATGGCTCCGACAGCGGGGACTGGGCTCATCTCCGTTCAAGGGCGGATTCGGTGGTTTTGAATGGACAGTGCTCATGGCTCTCCTCTTCGAAGGAGGAGGTCCCAACGGCAAGCCCGTTCTACTAAAATCATATAGTAGCTACCAGCTATTCAAGGCGACCCTTCAATTCATTGCAGGAAGGGACCTGGCCATTCCGTTGCTATTCTCCGCTACGGACATATCTTTTCCTGATGGCACCCCAGTCCTATTTGATGGCAAACGCGGGTTGAATGTCCTTTATAAAATGGCCCCTTGGTCCTATGCCTTTCTTCGCCGTGAAGCAAACACTACTGTGCGCATGTTGAATGAATCTCGCGACGACAACTTTGACAAAGTCTTTATCATCAGGGTGAATGAACCTCTTCTGAGATTTGACCGCATCTTGAAGCTTCCAGCGCAGGACAGTGCAAACATCCTCCGGAGCCTTCGCAGCCAGACTGCTGTATATGACGTGATTGTTAGAGCGCTTGGGGACAGAGCGGATCTCGTACATATTTACGGGGATGTTTTCAAGCCCTGGCCGGTAGACGCAAAACCGCATCGCAAGCCAGAAAGCCAAAGTGTCTCCGTGGGTATCGTTCTTAATACCGACAACGCTGAGCGTGTTGTCGATCATGGCCCGTCTGCAGAACAGAAAGAAGAGGCAGCTTCTTTTAGGTCATTTTGGGGAGAGAAGGCTGAACTCAGACGTTTTAAGGATGGTACTATTCGAGAGAGCTTGGTATGGACTGATGAGAAGTCATCACCATCTATAGTGTATCAGATCTTGATGTACATCTTGAGCCGCCATTTTAACTACACCAAAGACGACGTGGTATTCATTGGAGATGAATATGACGACAAGCTTCGCGAAGGCGGCGACGATGTCTTCTCTTACTCGAGTCCCGCTTTTCAGGCAATCACCGATGCCTTCACTTCAGTGCAAAGATCAATTCAAGACATGGATGGTGTTCCCCTAACTGTTAGGCATCTGGCACCAGCTAGCCCTAGTCTGCGCTACACTGCCCTCCGGCTCCATGGTACTGCTGGGGTTGCATCCAACCCTGCGGACATTGTTCTTCAGTTTGAGAGCTCGGCCCGGTGGCCAGATGATCTGAAGGCTATCCAGATGACCAAGGTCGCCTTTCTCATCAAGATAGGAGACTCCTTGAAGTCGGGCGGGGTTGCTTCCGCCTGTAGAGTTGGGTTGGAAAATGAGTCAACGGGGTTGATGAATAATTCCTTCTTGGACATCACCCATACATCAGGAATAGTTTTCCGCCTTAGGATTCACCATGAGCGCGAGCAGCTGTTGCTAGAACGTCAACTGAAGGAGAAAGGTGCTAGCCCGCTGGCGAAACAACAAGTGGCTTATGCCTTAGCTGCATATAAGCGACTCTTTATCCAAACACCTCGTCTAACGCAGGCAATCCGCACTTTATGTACACGCTTCCCACTGTTGTCGCCAACAATTCGCCTCGTTAAATATTGGTTCAATTGCCACCTGCTCGCAGGTCATGTCAATCAAGAGTTGATTGAATTACTCGTTGTCCGGGTCTTTACCCAGTCTTATCCTTGGGACAGCCCCTCGAGTGTCATGGCCGGCTTTTTGAGGACGCTTCATGTCCTTTCCCGATGGGATTGGCAGCAGGAGCCATTGATGGTCGATTTCGGTGAATTAAATAAGGAGTCAATGGAAGCGATCCAGACTCGCTTTTCTGCCTGGCGAAGCGTCGACCCGGCCATGAATACCGTCGCCTTGTTTGTTGCTTCCGATATTGACACTGATGGCGTAACTTGGACACAGCATGAAATGCCACCAAAGGTCGTGGCTGCTCGAATGTGTACTTTGGCTAAAGCGGCCATGAAATTGCTGCGGGAGCAGGGCTATGGCCTTACTGTGTCAGACTTGTTCCATACGTCCCTAGCACCCTACGATTTCGTTATCAACATTCGCCCGGGCCTGCTACAGGAACGATTGGCACTGCCTACGAGATTCAAGAACTTAGATGCGCGGAGAACTGCGCGAACTGCTAAACCTGCAATGGTGTCGTCCTTTGCTCGTGACCTGCAGGCGTGTTACCATCCAAACATGCTTCTCTTCCACGGCGACGAAAGCTGCAGCGTTATCGGCGGTCTCTGGAACCCACAGATCCTCAAACCGAAGAAATGGACGCTGAAGTTGGCATATTCAACGTGCCCTTCAGAACCGAGAGCCAACGAAGAAGTGTCTATGAATTGCCAAGCCGTCCTAAGCGAGATCGCCAGATTAGGTGCTGACTTGGTGGATAGTATAGAAGTGCATACAGAGGTGGCTTCCGAGAAGTAATTTATGAATAGCTATAGATAGACCTTTCGAATTGATTTAACCTGTACATTTCAATACCTAGCGCCGTTGCGATGCGATTGCGAATAGAAAAACCAAAAGTTCATGAGAAAGAAAACAAAATGCTGGAATCACACTCGTACACATCACATCCTATTAGTTCCTTCTACCTTCTATCTCAGGGGCGTGCCATTGGTTTCTCAGTCTTCTCAATCGATTCTTGAGAAGAAAAGGAACAGTATTTGTCTTTGATTGCGACAACTTCATAGGTGCCTTCATCGGATGTTTTGATGCTTTTCGTGTGCTCGTAAGAGATATCGTGCTTGATATCGAGTATCTCGGGCTTTCTGCCTCTTCGAGTATTCGAGCTCCGGATATACCTAACAAGTTATTAGTTAATCCACGGTGATATACAGGAGGAATAATAATGAGCGACATACGTAAACTCGAATGGAGGTGTGCCCCAGAACTCAAATTGAAGTTCGGCCTCTCCTCCTTCGTGTATATCAACAACGGAGACTTGACCTTTGCTGATTCTCACACTCGGCATCTCATGAATCGTCTTTGTTATGTTCTTGTGTGCCTTGCACTTTCCACTCGCGCCGTCACCTACAGCGGTAATGGTGAAGACTCCTGGACGCTCGGCAATCCGGCGGAAATTCGTGGTCTTGGAAGTAGCTTTTTTGGATGCACCGTCAAATGTATAGAACACGTCAAACGGAGCGTGACCAGACAATGAGAAAGAAAGGCGTTCGCCGACACAGTAATCGGTCTTTGATTCCAGAGGGATGATTGTGGGCACGTCCGAAACCGCGACCCTCACCGAAGAAGAGTCAAAATCGGTTTCTTGCTGGCATCCACGTGCATCTCTCACTTTGCGGATGCTGACGACATGTTGGCCCAATTCAAGATGGCGTCGTGGGATAGGCAAGTTATGCCTGTTGGATTTGATGTTTGGGATTGACACAATTTCTGGTTTGGCTTTCGAGTGGTGCTTGATGGAGATTTCGAGGGAAAATGGCGGTACGCCCTCCAAAGTAATGGGTATCAGTTCCTCGCCACTGATGTCTTCTTTGCAGAAACCGTAGATACGACCAGGCGAGTCAAAACGTGCAGAGGGGAGGGGGTTTACCCTTTGCGTCACGACAACCGGCCGGCTGCGAGGATCATGGTCGTAGAGATGGTCGCCGACTTCTGTGAATTTGTATGTATAGGAACCAGGCTCTGACGTGTCCATTTCCATGGAGGCAGCATTCAGGGCTGTCTTCAGACTCTGTAGCCTGACTGACGGTGAACCACGAGACGTCTTGCGCTGCTGCTCGTACTGTATGTCGTAGGGGGGGTTACCCGACAGCCTAAGCTCAAGACTATCATCTTCGCCTTGACAAACATCGCGTTTCGTTACGTGGCCATCGTCGCCAACGGGAGAGCCATCCACTGTCGTGATATGAGGGCGAGGTATCCAGGACACCTCAAAGACGTTGGCTGACTGGTCAATAGAGCCAGGGCAAGAGCTATCAGCAACGTCCACAAGTTCGTACTGCCCTTCTTGAGCAACGGTGAGCACGCTATTCTCTTGCCAGAATGTCTTCTCAAGAACGACAGAATTGGTATTCAAGTTGCGATATCTGACGTTCCACGGCCTCTCCCCACTTAGTCTGACCGGAATGTCAAGCTTGGAGTCCTGCAAAGCCAAGTATTTTCTACTTTTTTCAATCTGGCCGAAGGACGCGTGCGGTGGCTTCGAGCGAGCGTCAATCTTGATAGTGTCCCTGAGAGTCCGTTTGCAGTTCGAACGATCCTTGACGCCCGTTAGCACAATGGCATACTCACCACCGCTGACGAGCTTTTCTGTCACGATTGTGGCCATTTCGCTGTCGGAAACCAAAGAATACTTCGTCTTCTTGCCGTTGTGGACGAGCTCGTATTGCAGCGTCCATGGCGCTTCACCTAGGAAGGCTACGTCTACGGACACTGGCTCCCCAAAGCAAGCCTTGCGCACCTCCTTGTTCCCAAGGAAATGAGCAGAAGCTGGAGGTTTCACATCTTGTTCTAGGACTGGTACTTTGTCCCTGAGAGATTGCGGAGCGTAAACAGTGTCCGAGATGTCCAAGAAGCGATAACGATAGGCGCCTGCCTCTGAAGGGGTGAAATCCAGCTGAGCACGCAGCCCGTCAATTGTCTGGGACTTTGTCTCCACGCCTTTCGAGTGTTCAACAACATATCGAACCCGGAAAGGTGGCGATCCAGTGAGGTCCAGATCAACGAGTAGACCGACAGGGTTATTAGCGCACTTGTCAAAGATCTTCTCGTACCTGATGGCCAGTTCAGGCTCGGGAGGATTGCGCAGGTAACAAGACGAGGGTTCCAGTGTTTCTCCAGAACAGTATTGGCTTGAAACTGAGTTCAGGCTGTACCAACCCGGATCCTTAATCTGAGGTTTCTGGTCGAGACTCTTGAGTGTGAGTTGACGAACTTTGTTAGGCTGTTCACTTGGACTTTCTTGATCGCTACTGCTGAACGAGTACACCAGAGAAAAGGGCCCATCATTGGCGTAGCCTTGACCAGAAGGATGGTATTTCAAGGGAAGGTCAACGCTGTCGCCACGTGCAACCTCTAGGAAGCTCTGGTCATTGCAGCCAGTCAGAGACAGGCGTGGCCTCTCGTGGACTGAAAATTGATGCCACTGTGATAGAGACTTGGTCGAGGAGCGATCAAATACATCCAAAAGCGCCGAATAATTTGCGATGTTCCCTGCACCATCATGTACCTCTTCAATGCTGTAGAGCCACTCCCCGCCCACATTCAGTGACTCATTCAACGGAACTTCGATGATTTGGCTTTGAGCCCAGGCGACTTCGGGTTCTCTGGAATTGAAAAGGAGGCCGGAATTTCTCTGACCCAACAATGGCGAGCGCAAATTATCGGGATGTATGTTTTGAAACGAAAATCCTCGGTCAAGATGATTCACCTGTCTGCTGTACTTAATCTTCAATGGCGGCGTGCCCTCGACCGCTAGTATCAGGTTTGACAGTTCCCCTCGACATTTATGAGTGTGCGAGTTCTTAACCAGCGCCCGGGGACAAGTGACAACGAGAGCATCAGACGAGCGCATGTGTACATCAAGGTTAGACTCATCTACTACCCTCTGCAGGCGATAAATGCCCGGTCGCCGAGTTGAATAGAGAAGATCTCGATGAAGGTCTGAACTTGAGCTTTGGTGCCTTTTCTCTGCATGTTTTTTCATCTGTTTCAACTGCTTGGACGATAGTATGATCGTTTCATTTGCGCCGGTGTCGTAATCTAGACGTAACAACTCGATAAGGATAGGATCCGTTTGATTGACTCGAATTGGCAAATCGATGGCAGTCTTTTGTGCGTCGATGCACAGTGGTACTTGATCTGGGTTTAGAATAGCTGAACTGCATGATTTTGTTAGCGTATACAAATAGTTGGGTCAATTGCCAAACTAGGGGCTCTTACCCTTCGGGGAGTATATGAACGATCTGCTTTCCTAGAATAAGAGATGCGTTGTGAATGATATCACCAGGCTTCACACTTCGTTCAGAAATGGACAGCTCTCTATCGTAAGCCAACTTGACCATGCCAGCGATCCATGTCCCAACCGGGATCTAATTACAAGTTAGCAAGCTCTTTGTTTTACTGCGGCGACGTGAACAAGCATACGGGGATTCGAAACATGAGGAATACATTGCCGACAACGTGAATAATGAAGATTGCAAGTGTAGTGGGAAAAGCCCATTCTAGCCACGGGATGCGCAGCGCCTGTAGACCGAAGAGAAAGACACCATCGACAGCAGCCCATTTAAGGAATAACCAAGTCGAGTCCAAATCATCGGATGCCGTCCAAGACTCGTATACTCGCCAAGCATTTAATGCTACATAGAAAGCCGCAATGTAAAGTCGCTGCGACGGGGCATCTATAACCCCTACTGGTATGAGTGGTCGATTGGCATCTTGTGCGGGTATCTTTGAAAGACTCTTCGTCTGCTCTAAATCCCGGGGCTTCGGCTTAGATGTGGAATAGCTCAAGTCTCTGATCTTCGGAGTTCGTTGTGGTGTCTGCGGGAAAGCAGACCGAAGTCGAGGAGTACCGTTCATGGCATGCTGCGGTCATCAAAAAAAGGGCACAAAGACCTATAGTAGACGTCATAGGGTGAGCTTTTTGTGCTCTAGAAAGGATGGTTTGTGAAATTTGGATGAATTACTCACGAGAGTTGCTGAGGCTGGCGGTTGTCTTGGACTCACCAGGGGAAAGTGGTTGTTGAGCCGTTCGATGTTGCGAAAGAAAAAGAAAGCGCGAGGGAAAAGAAAACAGGCTAGTGAGTAGTAGGTTGGGCTGCGCGTATTTGAAAGAGAACTTCGGCGAGATTTGGCACACTAATAACGTACTCGCGTTGTAAACCTATTATGTTTCCTTTATAATTTGGTAAATGTGCTTGACAATGTGAAAAGTCCCGAACAATAAGTGGTGAAATACCGGGACCTAGCTAGACAAGAGTAATAAGTAAATGCAAGGGTTTAGCTTTTTAGCTGTCGGAAGTGCTCCAGTTTGCAGCTCGGATCCCGTTAATGATGTATGAAGATCACGTGTTACACGGTGGAAACAGGCCCATTGGATGCTTTCGCTAATTAAACTAGTACTAGTAGAGCGCGCGTCTGCAAACGCGTGTCGCTTACTGTAGATTCAGGTAACTGGTATACAAATTAAAATACCTACTACTCTCCACGGGAGACCTTACTGAGATGCAACGGGAGCCGTAGTAGACTCCTCTGTAATCATATACAAGGCCACTTCTTCGCCTCCTCTGGACTGGACACTCCATATCTACGGAGTAGATCGATGCTGCGGGAAGCCGTAAGTACCTGGTATCCCAGTACTCCGTACACGTGGTGTAATAGACTACGGAGTGTACTCCGTAGTAGTCCCCCGGTAAATGTGTTACACAGCGACTAGTCCTCCATCTTCCCTTTGATCAAGC